ACTTTGTAGTGTGTGGTATTCTATTACAGCTGATGAAGAATGACATCTGGGTTCCAGTTGGATTTTATTTGTGAAAGATGCAACCTGCAGAGATGAACTATAATATTCATAATCAGGAACTGCTTGCAATTGTGGAGTTATTTAGATATTGATGCTGCTGGTTGGAAGACTTGTGAACATCAGTTCAAGTTCTTACAGATTATAATAGTCTGCACTACTTCCAGACTGCTCAAGATCTCTTGTGAAGACAGGTCTGCTGGGTGCAAAGACTGACAGCCTTTTAGTTTACAGTTGACCATGTGAAAGAAACTAAGAATCTGGCAGATGAACCCTCACAAAGACCTGACTATATTAAGAAGGCTGGTCTAGATGATAAGAAGAGTCACAAGACTGCAAATCAACTAAGAGTAATGCTTGTGAAGAAGCAAGAGATTACAGAAAAGTTGGAACTGACAGCCCAAGTTTCTTCTAATCAGAAAGAGAAGAAAGAAGATAAGAATGTGCAACTCATTTTTGTAAAGCTTCAGACTGAGATCAAGAAACTACTTGTGAAGATTGTCTTGAGAGACATGTGCAAAATGAAGAAGATTATAATGCAGGTTCAGAAGGCCAAAGATCTGGTCTGCAAGAAGAATTCTTATAAAAAGAACAGCTTCAATCTGTTAGCATCACTGCCAAATCTACTGCAAAGTGATAACTATACAGCTGAGATCTGTAAAGACATTAAGACAGGCACAAAGAAATTTGTGATGTGGAAAGAGGAGAAGAGTATTCTCTATAAGAATAGTCACATGTACATTCCTCAGAATGAGGCTCTGCAAATAGAGCTGATTAGATATCATCATGATCTACTTCTTATGAAGCATTTTGCTACAGTAAGAATGTATAAGCTTATAGCTTGCAAATACTTTTGATCAAGAATGAGAGAACTGATAAAGAAGTGTTGCAAAGTCTGTAGAGTCTGCCAGAGCTTAAGAAGAGTTTACAGAAAGTTTCAAGAAGAATTATCACTCTTATCAATCTCAAATTACTCTTGGAAATCCATTAGCATGAATATTATTACAGATCTCCCTGCAAGCCTGAATTTTGAGAAGATGCAGTTTGATTATATTCTGGTTGTAGTGGACCAGTTCACAAAGATAGCTCACTTTATCCCTACAATAAAGAAGCTGACATCAGAGAAATTGGTCCATCTCTTTATTTATGAGATAGTGAGATTGCACAGATTACCTGTGAGTATAGTAACAGATTGAGAATCTCTGTTTGCAAGTGAATTTTAAGGTGATTTGACTCACATCTTGAAGATTGTGAGGGCAATGAGCATGGCATTTCATCCACAAACTGATGGTCAGACTGAGAGACTGAATAGTGTGCTGGAGCAGTACCTGCAAAGCTATATCAATTATAATCAGAATGACTGAGTGATGTGGTTGTCAATGACTGAGTTTGTGTACAATAACTCACAACAGACTTCCACACAGAAATCATTTTTCCAGCTAACATATGGACTGAATCCATGAATGGAATTCTTGAACCCTGATAAGTATAGCTATATATGCAAGAATTCAAGAGATCAGGCAGAGACAATAAGATTGCTCCATAAAGAGATCAAGAAATTGCTTGTAAAGGCACAAGTCTATCAGAAGAAATACTATAACCAGAAGCATACTGTGAAGACCTTCCAGATGAGAGACAAGATATGACTTGATCTTTGCAATATCAAGACTGCACAGCCTAACAAAAAACTGGATTTGTTGAGGCATGGGCCTTGTAGAATTATAGAGAAGATAGGCTCACAAGCTTACAGACTGAAACTGCCTCCAGGTCTGTAAACTTATAATATCTTCTATGTATCTCTGCTCTGTAAACACAAGACCCACAAAGAAATTAATAGCTCATCTCATTACAAAGTTTATAAGACAGACAAGAATGAAAAGAAGTACTGGGTCTGTAAGATAATTAACTCAAAGAGAGATAGTCACAAGCTGTGATACAGAGTATATTAAGAAGAATATAATGATGAGAAGAACAAGACATGGATTTCTGCAAGCAATATCCATCCACTGAGAAAGCTACTCCAATAATTCCATAGTAGAAACCTGGACAAGCCTGGTTTACAAAAGAGATGGATGGAGATAGTAGAACTAGAAAATGGGTTAGAAAGAGAAAAGATATAGTCAAACTAAACTGAATTCAATTGATTTCAAAACAAAAGAAGAAAAACTAAACTAAGACTATATAATTAGAGCCTCCAGCTTCTTCTGTAAAGATCTGTAACAACTACTTATAATCTCACTGCTAGAAAGAGCAAGCAAGATGCCCATGATATAGATAGTTGTTATATTTTTAACCCAAGCCTGCAGAGATGCACTCTGTAAAGACTATATTATTATAGCTCTGCTGTGCTCTCTTGCAGGCAGAGTATTCCTGTTCTGGTGGTGACTGGGCCTCAGCTCTAGTCACAAGAATACTCTTGCAGAGCTGGGTGTAGACAGTCAACTGATTTGAATTATCCAAACCAGCAATAAGCATGGATCTTTAGATAGACTTGTGACACCATGCTCTTTCACAGGCAGATAAAGCTTGTGCCCCTGTGTGAAGAGGGAGATCTAGAAGAACCACCAGATTAGCCTACAATGCACCAGTAAAAGTAGCAGCTGATAATATTTAGATGAAGATAGTCTGGAACCACTATTATCAGTTTCACAGAGAAGATGCTGAATAGTTTCAAGCACTCTACAGAACTACAGCACCTACAAACTCTGCTAGTGCAGAGAGAACAACAACAACAATCTAAAGAAGATTAGCCACAAACTAAAATATGATAGAGAATACTCACATTTCTGGCTGAGGCCAGAGCAACAACTACAGAAAGAGGAGACAGAGTAGCAGAACTCTAACTTTATTAGCACATAAATCAATATCAGCTTGTGAGAAGCACTTACAGCTTGAGCTGGCACAGAGAGAGTGATAACAACTGATAAAGAAGAAAGAGAGAGAATAATAATACTCTAGAACTATTAATCACAAACACTTTCTAAACTTCTTGTAACTACTTACTGAAGACCCAATCTTATCTGTAAAAGAGAGAGTGAGGGTTCTCCCAAGAGAGAAAAGCAGAGATAAGTTATAAGAAAGAAAGAAAGAAGACTGCATATCAGCAGCAACTGCTAGCAAGCATCAGTCTCTCTATAAACTAAACCCCACATGAAGACAAAACTGAATGACTATACAAAGCAAAAATATAATCAGAGATGAACTCACCAGCTTATGATCTTTCAGTCAATCACACAGAACATTGAAGTGAAGCTATTTTTCTTTCAGAATATTAGAGATCTTCCACAAGTCTACCTTCTATATAAAGCAGTGCTTGAAGGGTTCACTTATCTTTGTAAAGATGATATAGACTAGAGAAGAAAGAGAAGAAAAGAAGAAAAAGAGAAAGCAAGAGAAAGCTCTCTCTTAAGCCAGTGTTCATTATCTAATAGTGATACAGAGCTAGCAAGAACAATAGAGACTCTCTACATATTATTGTGTTATTGGGTTCTGTTGTGTTATTAGAGTTGTGTTGATATTATATCTCTAGTGAGACTGTATTCTTTTTCTTATGAGGAAATTTTTATTTTTCCCAAGAGGTTTTTTGTTTTTCTACTCATAAAGGTTTTTAATAAGACAGTCATCTTGAGGGACCAAGACTTACAAGAGGGGGGAATCTGTAAGAATTTGCCACAAACCTCTTACACAGACAAACAGCACCCATGAGGGCCAGACAGAGGCCTCAGCTCACAAGCTGCTGGGAGTTGCATGTGTCCTCACAAGACACTAAGTCACATGCTTGCAAGCACACATAAAAGACTGTCACTGCACAAATCCCTTGCTGAGAGCCAGTGGCAATCTTGTTTACAAGTCATACATAGTTGCCAGAATACAGACCTTTTACCTCACATACTCTTTTTCCATGTATATTCCTCCTAGAGATTCATTGTCACGCTGATCCACACATACAATCCTCACAGAGAATTCTTTTGGTGGTACTCTTAATTGAAACTGCCTATTGGTTGTGGAGAAAAAGGGCATGTAACAGGAATTATGAATTTGGTTAGCATCATTTTTCACACTAACCCAATTTGAATTTCCATTACATCCACATATTTGCCAATAACTCAACAACCATCAATTGTATGGATATGCGAGTACCACCGTTTGAATCGTCTTGCTGAGCTGGTTAGAATGAGCCTATTTTCGTTAAAATATATCAACTTTTGGATGTTATGTTTTAGTCAGTATTTGGCCTATAGATTTGTTGATCAGGGGTTTCAATGTTTCCCAATTTCTATATTGAAAATTAGAAGCTATATTTCTAAATTTGGAATATATATATTTTTAAACTTTCAAACAGCTGTGGATTTAGATAAACATATATTCTGATGTAAACATATCAGGACTAGTGGATCTACAGCTTACAAATCCTCTCCATTTCTGCTATGGTAATCTATGTGGGTCACGTGAGCGAGGTGCTAGTTGGATTACCTAACAGTTTTCATCCCGGTTCTCATCTCATTCTCTTACAAGAGGGGAGCAAGAGCACACATGTATCAAGTTCACATTCTATGGTTCCTATTGCTTCTACATATGGTTAGTAGCCTTGTAGGCCCTTCGAGAAACTGCTTCAACCTCACAATATTCTACTGTTCAGGATTCTCTCTTCAGCTATTGACTAACGCACTTTCTTGCTGTACCTTACATAAGTGGCCTTTACTTGCTACTAAACGCTTTTGCAAACTTATCAATTTTCTGTAAGAATGATTAGGTGCCCACGGGCCACTGCAGCCGACGATGAGTCCTCAGGCCTTGCTCGCATCCTGCAACCCCTCACCGTTGTTTCTTGGGGACCTGCTGCAATACACCATCTTGGTGTCCCTATTGTGGTCGCAGTAAGGATTCACCTCCAATGCCTCCTACTATCTGTGCTAACCACCATATGTTGAATGCAGACAGTCATGATTTCAGTTCGCGATGAAGATTATCAAACTGCCATACAGAAATTGAAAGATGCAGGATTTATTCCCTGTGTTCCAACTCGCAAACCTGCCCCAGAAATTCTAGCAAGCTTCCAGGATCCTAGCCGTGTGATTGAAGAAATGAATGCAGGCTTTAAACGCGTGGATTGCTCTAGTACAACATTTGAATACCCAGAACACCATCCAAGAGCCGGCTTGTGGATCTGCTTGTTCCCAAATTCCTTCACACACCTTCTTTGTTGTGGTACCACCCTCACAAAGAAGTATGATATTTATGACAATTTATTCTATCCACTTGAGGAACTGCTAGTTGAAAGTTTTGTCAAGGCAGCAATCGATGAAGAGAATGAGTTCAAATGGTCTAATTGGAGTGAATCATTAAGAGCATGGTTATCCATGATGACTGGCTATCTTGAAGTTAATAATGATGTTCTCGATAATTGCACGGATAAGCGGGCTGTGGAATGGTATAGCACCAATTTTGGCCGTATACGGGAAGCAAAATTCGGGCCCTGGGACCGGCGAGTCTCAAAACGCCTTGGTTCTGGAAAAGAGATGTCCGTTGATATGAGAGGGCATCCTGTCTGGTGATTACATGTATATCGAGCTCTCCTTACATTGAACCAAACCCAAAATCCTCGACCACGAAAACCAATTGCCATCTGAGTCTTAGCATTTAAAGTACGGAAACTCAACGTGGATTCGATGGCAAAATTTACATACAATATATATGCATGTTTCACCAAACTAAAAGCGCGTTGGGTGGCGAACAGAATACTAACTCAAAAGTAGGATCCAAAGCTAAATAGATAGAAGCACGTCGCAAATATTATCAGGTAGCCTTTTGGGAACGGCGTTTTGGTGGCATGATGGCAGTGACTTCACTTTGTGTCCGAGCTATAGCATCTTGGATTCTACCGCCTATTTAGTACCACACCATTGGAACAAAACAAATAGCAAGGGGTCATACCAGTTCTGAAAGATTGCGGCGCATTTGATCTTTTGCTTCAATGGTTCACTCAAAGTCGGCCTCTTTTACACAAGATTTGACAGCGCGTTTTGTAATACCTTACTGTTGTTAAAATCGAGCTCTGCTTTGCCTGGAGAACACAAAGGGGCTAAAAGAGTCACATCTCGAATATCTGTCCCTTCTTTCCCGCTACCCTGGCGTTGATATTGAGAGAGGGTTCCATTCGGGGCCGAAAGTCTTGACCGGATACCCGTTGATAGACCTTGTTGTTCTGGTGGCAGATTGGAGATTGTACTAGGGCCGCTGCGGCCAACTTTGATAGTCAAATACTTCCAGTTCTACCAGTCTAATCGCACCCCCTGGCAAAGAAAGCTTGTACGCAGGGATCGTGTGCCCGAACTGACTGACAGGCCCGAATTCGGACGGGAATGATGCGAGGAGCTGCGAGATCAGCCGGTCCGCCGTGATCATACGGTGATCAACATGAATCACAAGATCCACGTCCTCCGTTTCTCGGTCCGGGCGTTGGGTTAGCAGGCAGCCGGCGGCGCCTCCCATGCTCGCATAGTCGACATTTAACGAATCAAGTTTTTGCGCTAGGCCTAAAACGACGATCTGAAGCTGGTGTGGGGAGAGTGAACGAGCCATTGTGTTTGAGCAATAGCTATGGTATGCCGTTAGTAAGTCCATACAGAACAGATGTCGATATTGGTGTGCATACTCTAAAAAATCAAGCTGTATAGTGGGATGTTGTGCGAGCTTGCAATAGGAAGAGCCGAGTTATAGAGTCGAGCTCGAGGGCACGACCTTCTATGTCTTTTTCACGTCCATCATCCCAGATGTCGCATGAATCTCAACCCATCGCCAGTAACAAGGATGTTTGAAAAGGTGTTGGAACGCAAGAAACAATTCGCAATGGATGACCCTCGATTGATCCGCTCCATAGCATCACATGGAGAACAGTTGGCACAGCGCTTACCAGAATGCATCGATTGGGTTGATTTGGCCCCATTATTCGAGAGTATCTGTCATGTCTAGGCCATATTCTCGAAGGGCCTACAAGGCTACTAACCATATGCGGAAGCTATAGGAACCACGGAACGTGAACTCGATACATGCGTGCCCTCGCTCTCCCACCTCGTACGAGGACGAGATGAGAACCGGGATGGTTGGTTTGGTTGGTAACCCAACAATGAGACAGATATCTTGAGAAATCAAGACTTACAAGAGAAGGAAATCTGTAAGAATTTGTCTGTGAATCTCTTACACAGATGAACAACACCTGCAAGAGCTGAGAGCTGCTTGCAAGATGTTGGGAGTGAATGTATACCAAATGAGATGCTAAGTCATGTGCTTGCAAGCACACATAAAAGGCAGCCACTGTGTGAACCCCTTAATGGAAGCCAGTGGTAATCTTGTTTACAGTTGTACACAGTTGCTAGAAGAATATAAGACCTTTACCTTGTGTACTCCTTTTCCACATACCATTCCTACTAGAGATCCATTGCCACGCTGATCCGCGAGGTACAATCCTCACAGAATCATAATAATAATAATAATAATAATTGTGTTAGACTTGAACTGCTGCCCAGATGTTGCTATGCTCATATGGAGGTTCCTGATTTGAGGTGAACATGTAACAGGTTTTACCACCATGAGGATCATAAAAGTCCACAGAGCTACAGTTATCAGTATTTCCACACAGTTCTAAACATTCAGTGAAAGACTCCACAGGCTTATAGCCTGTAACATGGTCTCTAAACTGCTTTCCACACAGGATGCGGTAATTCTTGCCATCAATTTTCACAACCTGGTTGTTGTTTGAATCACATGTGATGTCCGGATTGGCTGGTGCAGAGAATTGTGGAGGTGTTTGACCTGATTCACTTGCAGGAGGGATCACATTTTCCAGAGGTGGCTCAGCAGGCTCATTCGAACTGCAAACTTCATTCTCGTCACATGCCCCAGAGCAGCCCATTGAATGCGCGCTAGCCCAACCTGAAGCCTGGACAGCAGGCTCTCCTTGATGCTTTCCAAGATAGCACTGTCTGGTGCGTTGGTGGAAGTCAACACTCTGGCAGCCAATATAGGAAGCGCAAGAATTGATGCAAGCCTTCAATGTGTCTTTCTCTGTTTTGTGAAACCAGGCTGTTCCATGGCGCTTCTGGCAATCCATGTGGAATACCTAATGAGGAAGCTATGTTAGCATGTGATAATGTGACTCCCCTTAGGACTGGGACAGAAATAGCAAAGGAAAAATCATACTTGTTTATTCTTAGCTTTATACAGCTGGCCATCTGCATCAGGACACTTTGTTGAGCATGCAAGTTGAACCTCCTGTTTAACTTCAATGACAGGCGGATCTGTCAAAAAGGCCCAGTCATGCAGAGTATTTCCACATTTCCGAGTTGAGAACATAGCACTGGAGTAAAGCCGACAATCCCCGGTCTTTTCGTTGCCAGAGTCACCATAAATGTACTGAAACCTAAGACCTGTGTAAGATACAAATCTCATACAGCAAAAAGAACTAGCCTCACCCATTGCAATTGTCTGTCTCACTGCATCTATTAATGCAGTCATCATACCCAGAGGTGTGCACGGTCGCAATCAACTTTGTTCCCTCTGATTGATGCATACAGCACTGCATTGTGTAAAAGCTGCCGTCGGGTGTCAGAAAGATGTTACCGTCATCTGTAAGGCAACAGTTTAGCAGTCAGTGAACACCAAAAAAAATCCGCACTGATTGCATGATGTGCAAAAACAACTCACCCTCAGGGCAGGATGGGACTCCTTGAATGACATCAGGGTGGGCTTTTGGTGTTGTTCCCTGGGTGCCATCACAGCTCCTTGCGTGCACTGGTCCAGTAAGACCCAGTGTAAAGGCTGCAGCTACTGAAATTTGCCAGATATGCATGGTCGTTGTCAAAAAGCAATAGATGTTTGAAGATCATGGATAGACAAAGGTCAAACTTGAATTCCAGCAACATGACTAGGAAAGGGAGAGGGAGAGGCTTTTAACAAGGTATGCAACAATGCAAAATTGCTTATGATAGCTCTCCGCCGGTCCACCAGGTCATTGGATCTGCAACTCTGGCGATCTGTCTCTCAGTTAGCCGCTATCCACTCCATATCTGCTCGGATTTGGTTGATTACCAGGAGTAGAACAAAAAGCATACTAACACTCAGATCAGTTTTGAGTGACCAATATAGAAGTGTCAAGTCCGCGGAACAATCTGGTCATGCGAACCAGCTGAAATGATTGTGGCTTGGAGGATCACGGTAAGCTGCAGATGCCAGGAGTCATGAACAACAGTAGTTGGCAGTGCATCAACATTGAATTTGTCTTCTCCTGACGAGTCAACAGCAATACCGCTGTCAGCACTCACCCATCATCAGCCAGCCTGAAGAAGATCTTTATGGACTTGCCATTGTAATATTGCAGGGCCTATCATGGTTTGGTCAGGTAGCCTGGTGTGTACTGTGCATGCAGCAGCCAAAGGATCTGCTGTGTTGTGTGACCAGGGACTGCAGGGATGAAAAAGTGTGTCATGGTGTTGGAGACTATTTTGGTTGATCTTTGTTTGACCTGTTAGAGTTAACTAGCAAGCTAGTTAGTTAGTTAACCAGTGTGGATAAGCAGCTCCATCGAAACAGGATAGTCATTTCTCTAACCTGTGTGAGTGTGGAGTGCCTTTGTACATAGTTATGATCAATCTTGCACAGTTAACTAGTAGGATCACAAGCAAACCTTCTTTGCATTTACAGACTCCATACAACATTTCATTTCATGGTGACATTCTTTTGGAAGGCCTACAGAGTCCACACTTGTAAAGCATCCACAGAAGCTCAAGAACCCTCAAAGCAACTCAATTCAAGTGCTCTAGCTTACTCCCAGGATGCAAGCACATATTCCTCGCACTTAGTTATAGCAAGACAAGACCACCAAAAAAAAAGGGTGTATATATAATGTTAATCATAGTAATACCCACTATCCACACCCCATTGGATCAAGGAAGGGCTAAACCGACAAACCGCCTGCTCGAGAATATAGTTACACTGTTGGCCTTGGCTTGACGCCAGGGAGACGAGCGTTATACTCATTCCGCGGGCCGATTTTAACATGACAACCTCACAGTTGCTACAAACCGGATAATCTACCTTACAAGCTGGTTGTGAGAGGAAAATGGACCTAGTTATGTAACTACTGGGTATTGACATCTTTCGCTGAATCAAAATATTTCCTGAAATCCTTCCAAAACCAGATATTCATCCCAATCTTCCTCCCAGACTTAACTGGCATCCCCGCATGCAGGGTTTCATCGTAGCCGGTTCCGTTGTCTCGAGTATTGAGCCAAAACACAGCAGCACCGGCGATGGGCTTGAAGATGGTCCCCGGTTCGGTCGATTCGCAGTCAATGTACTGGCACCAGTTTGGATCCGTGGGACGGGGGATGCGAGGGAAGTGAGTCCCACCACCAGTACAATCGCCCTCCAGAAACACATTAAAGGTGGAGCGCCGGTTCCTGCGGTTCGGGGGGGCGGCGAACTGGTCGTAGTGGTAGGTGAAGAATCCATCCACGTGGTAGCGCTGGACACTAATCGGCTCTACTTCAAGTCCGGAATCTAGCTGCTGAAGCCGCCGTGCTCGCTGCTCGATGCATTGAAGCACTTCATCGCGCGGAGGCCATGCATTTTCGGACTTGCGATGCCCGGAATCAACGTCGGTAACGCCATTTCGGTAGACGGATGCGGGAGTAAAACTATCCTTGCTGTTTCCATGGGTGGGTTAATATGCAGCTAACGGAGAGGTTCAAGTCTCATGCGCACGCACAAAGAACAATAAATCATACGTACGTAACTTCGATCAGATGTGAGATCTCCTCAGGTGTCACGAAATTGGGGATATACACAATCTGAGGCTCTGGGTGGAGGATGTAATACTCCAGCTGAGAGTGATCCGGGCAGACGATGGACTCGTTCACTTCGATAAGGCTCATAAGTTCCAGCCCATCTGGGAGACCTTTGTCTGCCTTGAAACTCGTCTGGATGACCGGAGGCAGCGGTAACCCCTGGAGGTTCAATGCCACGGGTTGACCAGATATCGACACCGCCGTCATGCGGATGCTATCGGTGCTGGATTCAAACTGAACAGACAGTGGTACTGTGGCCTGAAATGTCTGAACATTACCCAATGTCCCGGACATGATGGCAACAATAAAACGTATAGGGGCTTAGTGACGGGGTGCGGAGCTGATATGCGAATATTTTGTTGAATGTCCGACAACCGTTATAGCACTAACAGTATGCACACGTCTCTCTCGCGGCCGAAGGAGACGAGCGGTCAACCTCCGTCGAACGAGGGATCAATCACACTGGGAATCTAGGAGCAGCGAAATGTGGAAATCCTTGTTCAATTCTTGGCCGCTAAGCCCAAGCCAATAAGTAGAAGCTCCAGGTATACAGTTCGAGTGTGCTGAGATTCAGCGTAACTCTTCGAGCACTCCTGCAAAAGATCCGCTTCGCCAGCTCACACCAGCTTGTTCGTTTCCCCCCGGCGGGACGCGTCTTGGTGCAATTCTCCGCTCAGCCAGCCTTTCTTTGGTTCCGGGCTCCGCAGCAGCAACAGCAGCCAGCCACTCTGGATTATATGTAGCCCAAATCATCACATGCGAAGTTAACTTGAAAGAATATTTGTCTAGGACAAAAGCAATACCAGGAAATGGGCCAGAGCTGTTCGACAGGTTGAACCCTGGGCGCGACCGTTGACAAAACAAGCAGATTTCCATCCCAACCACATTTGCTGCTGGTGGGATTTTGATCTCGACGTGGCAAGTTTGGAAAAAAACAAACTGTCAACGGAGAACTTTGTCCCAAAGTCCGGAGGTGTATCAAGCGAACCACCTGGGTGGCGGGCCTGTTCGTGAAAACGCTATTGATGCAGGATCGGCAACGGGACGGACCGGCATAGTGAATCCGGATCGGCTACCAGACCCGCAGGGACAAACCGGAACGATCCGAATCCCCAAGCATTGGGGACAACACCAATCACAGTCAAGGGCAGGTCGCAAGGGATTAGCATTGAGTTTGTGTTTTCACCACAGAGCACCGGCCACCAGCGCATATCTACCAAGGATTTGAGGAAGCGGAATTAGTCACTTGCAGCCAAGGTGCTTTTCAAGTGGTTGGATGTTATTCAACATGCGCAAAGTTGTGGATGAATACCTCCAGAGTACTGTACCCCGTACAGAGCACATTTTTCTTTAAGCATGGAGTTAATTATTAGTTAGATAAGGAAGAAGAGCTTGGAGTCGATGCATCATATCCTCCCTTTCACAACTCAAAATACATGCCCCACCACCCGCACAGTAAAGCCTTTATTTCACAATGTCTATCACTCTGGAAATGCTCGCTTTCTCTTTCTCTCACAAGTAATCACCGATGCACTTCTCTCAATTTGACCGAACCGATATTGCCCCGCAATAAAACTAGGCGCAAACACCTGCAACCCATGGCCCTGGCACACCGTTGCAGGTAGGGTTAAAGCAGCCGTAGTGAGATCCATCCGCCTTGAACACAGCGATCGAGCCCGCTTGCCTATTGGTGCATGTCTGTTGTGCCACTTGCTGCGGGTCTGGTGGTGGGATGGGACATCGAGGATCGGATTGTCCCCACATCAAGAAAGGTATCGTCCAACATCTGCCGCTGCCTGGATCATACTTCCACTTGACCGAGAAGAGGAAAGCAGAGGACTGGCCAATAAAGGCAGCCAGAAGAAGTGATGTGATAGTGAAAATATGCATCTCGAGTACGCAGTGCAATGCGTGATGATTGGGAGCTGGCTTAATGAACTGGTGAGTCCATAGGCTGACCTCACTATCACTGTGAAAGAAGAACTTACATTGAAGGATGCCGTAGGATGAAGAGGGCAAAACACGGGGGACAGTGAGGACGAGCAGCGGGGAACAACTGGGCACAAGGACACAGGGGCCGAACCATCATTTTATAGCTTGCCATACGGAACAGGATTCAAAATCCTGCTAGAGGTTCCACTTTCCTCTTGTTTACTCAAAGTCCCAATCCAGCCTGTTACAGAAATGTCTGCATGCATGTCCCTGGTCAACAGCCACAGCCCCCTAGCAAACTGAATCCAATGACTCGATGTAGCAGATTCAAAGCCCACAAGCTGATTCCACAGCTATTGTGATCAATCCCTCCCAATGCATATTTGTGGCGAGCTGAAGAAGGGCTGTCCATGCAAGGGATGATCGGACCTCAGATATGGTCGCACATCACTGTCACCCTGCACTTGTCACCTGCATCAACATATGCGCCTCCGAGGTTCCGAGGAAAAGCGATGAGAAGAAGAGGTAAAATTAAGAGCTCCACAAGTAGCGGGAAGGGAAAGAAAAAGAAAAGAAAAAAAAAAAAAAAAGGAAAAAATAAGGCAAAGCTAAACCATCCAATCTTGAATTGTGCATCTGCAAGCTGAAATGCTTCGTTCACGGAGACCAATGCTCCGGAACCAGATCCACACCATTTCAGCTGCAATGAAAAGAGATCTTCCGTGGCTTGCACAGGTATCCTTGAAAGAATGTTGACCATCCATGCTGGACGCAGATGTCTCTATAAGTATTTCGCCCACGCCGTCCCAATAATCCAGAACTCTCTTGTTCAGTCCCTTCACCCATCTCTTCTCTACCCTTTTTTATAAGATCTTATCATACCAATCCCGTGACAATGAAAGCCCAAGGGTGCGCTTTTCTGGCCTTGTCGGCCTTGTTGGCCGGCAGTGTCACGGCACAGTTTAACCCCAGCCCACCACCTGGGTCTGGTAATAGTAGGCCTGGTGGTAGTCCCGGCGGCTTCAACCCTTCTCCACCACCTGCTCCTGGTACTGGCGGCAGCCCCGGAGGTTTCAATCCCTCTCCGCCACCTGCTCCTGGTACTGGCGGCAGCCCCGGAGGTTTCAATCCCTCCCCTCCACCTGCTCCTGGTTCTTCGCCGTCAGGGCCCGGGACGCCGCCCGCTGGCGGCTTTGGCTGCCCTAACCCCAGGGGCCAATTTAACCCTTCGCCTCAACCAACAACACAAATTTCATGCCCCAACAGTGAGCTCATTCGCGGTCCTCATATGCGCTTCGAGCAATCAATGCTAAAGGCTAGCAGGTGATGGGTCGATCTATGAAGCGGATGACGGTACATGGTATCATCTTCAGTGCTGTGTCGCGAGAGATCCAAATGCACTCTCATTAGGTGCTCCGGCAGCATCTAGTTATGATCAGTGTCTGCAAGAATGTTCCAAAGTGGACGCCTGCGTCGCGTACGTACATGGCCTAATTAATCCCTAGCTCTGTCTGATTGTTAGTTACCAGTGCCACATTCAATCCTATCGAAAACAAATGCCAGCTTTGGGATTTTGGCACTTATTCCGCGATCGGACAAGACTCACAGCTCTATGCTTGGGTTACTGATCCCCCTGTGCAAGTCACCCCCAAGATGTCTAGCCGGCTCTGCTCCACGACCTGTCCCGAGGCGGATGGACAGATCTATGTCAGTAAATATGGCGAAGTGCGTGCCCTCGGCAGTTGATACCAAGTTTATTTTCCCTGCTGACAATCAATCTAGACGTTCCGCATGGACTGTGAGAAACGCCATGGAACCCAGTATCTCGACAGACAATCCGTTGATTCCTTTGAAGAATGCATTGAAGCATGCGGGGCGGCGCCATCGTGCAGCAGCGTTGATTTCGACCAGAAGAGAAATACCTGCTATCTGAGCATCGATGGAGGATCTCCTACTCTCCAGGCTCGCACCTTCGCTAGCGCCCACTCTGTGGGTTGCGCTGGCGCATGTGACAGATGCAATGATAAATGCTCCACTCCCGCTAAGAAGCCCGAGGATCCAAGCAAGTGCACTAATGACAATGCTATAGTAGCAGCATCTGGATATGCATTTAGAGTTCACTGCAACCAGTGCCTTTACAGCACGTCCGGACCAGGGGTCCCGGAGGCAAAAAATCACCAGGAATGTATGGAGGCCTGTGTAAGGGATGAAAGGTGCGGCGGAGCCAACTGGAGGATTACGGAAGGTTGTGTTCTGAGATATAATCCGACATCGGGTTTACATGCAGACGGAGAGTGTACGGCAGCCTTCACTAAGTTTCAGGCCTCTCAAGCCTGAAGCGTAAGTAGGTATCATCCCTGGAAGACAGTTATGTTTAGGGTAGAGTGTAGTTTTCCTTACTTTAGCAAGACAAGTACCAAATATTAAGTTAATAGTTGATTTTTCATCTTGGGCGACTGATAGCCATTTTCACTTTTGCTGGTTAAGTTTTCTAGCAACTTGGTGCTTCATGAACTGTTGTCTTCTGTCATATGTCAGGACACCTCAGCGCGGACCTCATCAAATTAACTTACTTCTTGGCTCCGATCCCGTTTATCCGATGATAGAGTTTTCTCTTGCCAAGATGGACAGTGTGCCAGGAGTCTACTTCATAGAATGCCTGGATCATGTGGTTTTGCGGTTCCAAGAGCTTCTGTAGGGTTTTCAAAGTCGGTCTGGAGGCCTTGGGGACAAGTGCTAACCACTTATTGACCCCAAACACTGTGCAGCCATTGTGTTTCCACATTGACCTTGTAGACTTCACGTGTGCTGTGCTAACCTGTCCTATAAGTCCGTCTCTTCGGGGTGTCAGGTCAAAGTTTTGCAGTTGGTCAATGGTGTATGGAGTACTAAACTCTTGAACCTGCTTCGGCTTGACCATTGTTGACAACATGAACAATGGCGTAAACTTGTCATCATAACCTTTTAGGAGATAACTGGGTGTGTTCTCAAAATCACCAGTGGAGAAATTTATCTTAATACATTACAACAGGGACCTGCATGAGTTGGCTGAAAAAGTGAGGTCTGCATTCTGATCTTCATGATGTATCTAAGTACTCATCATTAATTAGCTTCGTATAGTTACCTTCAATAATCAGATGACAACCTGTCCTTCATGGTGACCATTAACGGTTTCTTGGCCCATAGAAAGTACACCTTCTGGTTCGTCCAGTCGGTTGTCTCGGGGGTTAGTTCCATGTCAAAATGATACAGCAGTTTGCATAGTATCATGCGCATCTCCGCGTATGCCATGCTGGAGGGCAGATCGATCGGGTTAGCATACAATAGAACCAAAAACAGAGTGCAGAGTACGGGGAGGGAGAATCAAACTTTTTGCCTATGCAATTCCTTGGGCCCAGGCTGAACGCCTGCATGGCGTCCCTCTTATCCGACTCAAATCTTGGATCACCCAACCAGCGCTCGGGGATGAAGTCATTCGGGCGAGAGAAGTTGGAAGATGAGTGATAGGATGCATAATGGTGGCATGCGACAATGGTCTGATTGATGCATTTGTTAGTTATCATTGAATATACAGGGAAAGGATGCTCTGACTTTTTCAGGAATAAAGTAGCCATCAACAGATGCGCCGCCGGGGGGCACCACGCGAGCCAGAAAGGCGGCAACGGGGGGATAGCAACGCATTGCCTCCTCGAGAACAGCACCCAAGTAAGGAAGAGTAGCTGCTTTGTCAAACGTGATGTCACTATCCGAGGTAAACGCCGAACGAATTTCATCAGACAGTTTTCGCATGGTCTCTGGTGATTTGCACAAGAAGTAGATGCAGCCGGCAAGTAGGGTAGCAGACGTTTCGCTTCCGGCAAGCATGAGACTATAATATTGTGAGCAAAGAAGCAGATAAATAAAACCTTTGTAAGGCTAGACAGACATAAATGAATTAGAATGAATCTCATCCCGTCTCAAGATCTTCTTTCCTTCATAGAACTGCTCTTGTTTTTCAACGAAGCCATTCTGTATAAATGCCGACATGAAGTCGCCCCTTGGTGAAACTCCACTTTCCAACCGACGATCTGCCTTTCCAGCGCTCAGATTGAAGTGGTCAAATTCTTGTTTCTTGAGGTACGCCGGGATGAGTTTGTCTAACCACGGCTGCAGTAACGGAAACTGTCCGGCGGCCCCCATGATTGCGAGGGCCTTCATGGAGTCGAAAATCATAGCAATCCAAGGGTGTAGCTTAGTGTCACGCAAGCAGTTGAAAGACTCCCCGAACATAAGATCGCCTGTTATATCAAAAGTGGTGTAGTTCAGCCAGTTTTTCATATCGACGGTTGGTCGTCCCGCATGCACTTCACCCCTGACTTTGGTAATCATAGTGTCCGTGAAGCCGCGAATCACATTCTCCTGCTCACGCAGTGCCCGATTTGAAAAGGCGTAGGACAACAGCTTCCTGTGTCGGGCATGGACGCCATCATCAATCGCAGAGACAAGGTGGTCTGCTCCGTTGATCGGGGTCATATAACGGCTACGATCCTTGGGGAAACACCCACCGGGGCGGAATCCGTAGATGTCCTTAAATCCTTGGGCGGTGTTGAATGCCAATTCATTGGGACGAATGCGTACAACTGGGCCGTAGCGCTCGTGCAGCGCTGTGATATCAAAATGGATGGTTCCACGCACAATAGAGAGCTGTGAAGGGATTGCGGAGATGGCCCACAGCTTTGGACCGGGGAATTGTGCGAGAGGCGACAACCAGAGGTTATAGATAACGTTGTATCCGATCTTTAACACCCCCTTCAAGCGAACAAAACTTTTAGCCTCTATCCAGGGTTTATAGTGTGGTTGAGTGTCGGGGCATATGCTGTATAACTCACCAAAACAGCTGCAAGGCCGAGAAAAAGGAGGATGCTGGATAGCAGCTCCATGCTCATGGGTAATTGCAACTCGGACGGACAAGACAGGTTTTGCTGTTGTGACCTGTACGGAGGACCGGGATGCCTTTTGGGAGGGAGGGATGAGCAGAGGACCCAAGTCCATGGCACCACAGGCGGCTTATGAGAGGGACCATGGCGAACGACAGGGGTTATTATTTCAATCCATGGATTGCCAGCTCGTTCAGGGCCCCCCGGTCAAATGCTTGCAGCAGGGTCGCGGGGACGCGGACCGTCGAGATAGTCCATTCCTCCTAGCAGAAACAATGGAACCCCGCCTCGAATCAGTGAATATGGAAATGAGAATAAAGTTCTCGGTTTGTTATTAGCTTGCAGACAAAGCAGGCTTCATCACACTGCCGCATGCAGGTTGTGCAAAATATCATCGCAATTGATTCTTTGACGTGGCAATTCCACCCTGCATCGCAGCCGCGACGCGAATGAGGTGACGACGATTGTCCCCTCATCAGAGTTAGTTTACAGAGGACAGTGAGAAAATAACCAGCTATTTTATTTTTTTCCCGCCTTTGCAAAACCATGCTTTTAAAACCACACTGATTTGCCGCTGTCCACGCGATAAAGTGGACATCCGCAGTTGTACGCGCAGCAGCTTGCTCCTGCGTGCGCCAAGAGCACCTGCGTCTCCATCGGCTCAGACACCAGAACCGAACATGGGCAAATCATGCCAGCTCGTTTACCAAAGCAACAAGTGCTGATTTATCTTGTCTCCCATCCTTGCAGAGCGGGTCGGTGGCCTCTCTTGGGCATGGGACCTATAAAAAGGAAGCCACACAGAGCCAGCAATGCACGTCCATTGAACACCTCATGCTTCTCATGCAATCAGGTCAATGAAGTCGCGGAGGGGCGACATCGCGCTAGGGCGCCATTGTCTGATTTGAGGGAGGGCCAAAACCCCCTCTTCTTGATGCATCCGTCGGGCTGTAGGTGACCCGTCAGCCTGGAACAACCTCCCCGGCCATATTGGCGACGGAGCCTTCCAAATCACAGGCGTGGACGCGGCCGATTGGCTGGCTTCGACTGTTCTCAGCAAGAAACTCGAGACTCGGAAACGCAACTCGGTGGGTGGGAGTGCGAATTTGTGACTAGTTGCTAGATGCATGGCCGCCGCTTGAATTTTTTCCTATACAATGGAGTAGTGAGAGTATACTCCGTACATACTGAACCTATCCGGAGCGCGCAGAGATTTCTTTGGCATTGCAACTCAGCATCCGATCCCGGACATGCTGCAATTGTCTCCGCCCCAGCTTGTCGTTGGTAAGGGCTTATATATATGTGCTCCCGTTGCGCATGATGGCTGTACTCACTTGCAGATCCCTTAACGCAGGTATCACGGAGCCAAGCGATGATGAATATCTGAAAGTATCCGAGCGGAGAAGATAACGGTGAACAAGCGATGAAAAGGTGGAGTTCAATGTCGAATGGTAACCCATTCAGCAGCATGCTAGCATAAGCGGAACAAGACGTCGCGGGAAAGTGGAATAGCAAGGAAGTAGAATGTTTCTTTGGATGTCACCCCTTCAACTACCATTATGAATGCCTCGTCACGAAGCAGCTCGCTTGCGAGCCCAAGCAGCGGAGAATATACAAACATTGTTAAGCTACGTGACCGATCGACTTGATGTTGCAGTGTGGGTGGAAATCTTTAGAGTACCTGTACGAGCTAAGAAATCCCTTTCAATTCGGACAATGTTGCCCCCGGCTTCGATACGAGAGAAGATGACTGGTAAAGTGTATTGACAAGGCAACAGTTAGGTCGTGAGCCGTCGCCAAGCTTGGCAGCTTCTTCTCCCAGGTAACTATTCGTTGGGAGCAGCGAACAATCAACGGGAGCGCTGATGCGGGGCTTCAGTCGCAATTGCAGGCCACAAAACTCAACAGATATATTTACGGTATGCAATTCATCGGGTACTACCCTATTTCCGAAGCTTTCGGAAAGGAGATAACTTGAGAAGATATTTCGAATGAAGCGGTGCTTCTCCCTCCCTTAATCCAGAAGCAGCCTCTCATATCCCTCAATCCCAAATATCGGTGAGCACTTCGGGGCGGATAAAAAAGGGGAAGCAGCAAAGACTTCTATCAACTGAAGGGCGTTTGCGAAGAATTCGCTGTGGGAACCCACAACGCCAATAAGACATATACTGACGTCATTCCTCTGTTTGGATCCGTTTGAATGCCGTTTTAAAATATACCTCCCTATCCTTCTTTACCTGAAACTCTCCACTTCATACCTTTGGTCTGTAAAATCCATAACACAGGCACACTGGTCAAGCAAAAGAATGCATAGAGTGTAAACCCCCAGCCCAAGCCGACGCCATTGATGATCGGTTGGAGTGCAGCTACGCCTCCTCCCGCACCAACGCATCTGACAAGGTTATAGGCGGCCTGCGCCGTGGAGGATTTATTTGAGTTGAGATCGGTAAGTAGGGTTCCACATATCTTAACAGGATGTCAGTTTCAAATACCAAGGTATATCTGATTTTTTGAAAGGGCAATATACGTACTGTGAAAATACTCGTGATGCTGAGTCCGCTGAGGAATTGCATGACTAGAGGGACAGCAATATGCTGTAGCACAATAACCTATTAGTTGATTTGCTTGGACTTCTAGCTCAGGGGGTTAACATAGGCCTTACAGCTCTTTTATAAAGCGCCCAACCGTAACCCAAAGTTGCCGCAGAACTAATTATGATCAGATACCACACGCTCCTAAGTCTAGTTTTCTCGACTGGAAAGTCATCATTATCCTCCCCCACCCGTAAATTAGTGTCGCGACCGAGTTTTGCTGCAACGTGTTTATAATCTCTATCAAGCAATTTCCCTTTCAAATTTTCACATCATCAGGTCATAGCTTTAGAGTGTGGGGAGGAGATCGCCATACCGGTAGAATAAGACGATATCATGCCCGCCAACCCAGTGGGCAAATACACTAATCCCGCTTCCAAATAGTTCAGATCATATATCTCGATACATTGGGCTGATAGAGAGGCACCCAGTGTGCGGGATACGGTGTAGTATATGGAGCCCACCAAAATTATAGCAAGGGAGTTCTTGTGGAACAAGATTGGAATGCTTGTCAGCGGGTTTGGGATGCGAATTTTTCTCTTCATTAATCCCTCTGAAGGTTTTATCCCTTCAGATTTATCAGATCGTGATCCTCTTCTGGCGAGAAGGGAAAACAATGTCCTGTGGATACCGCGTGCCTGCACGCTTCCATTATGGACTATCTTTCGTGAGGTCTCTGGAAAGAACAAAGCAAGAATGATGAGATGCGCTCCAGACATGATCACTAAAAGCCAAAAAATCCATCTCCAGCCGAGCTTCTCCGCTAGGATGCCTCCTAGAACAGGGCCAAGACTGGGAGCAGTGCATGTGCTGTTGAGTAATTCCGATCAGCAGCGTCTCATCGGTGGGGCCAATTTCAATGGGTCATACGCACAACATAATCAGTATTCCGACGTACGACCCACGTTCACTGGGAGTTGCTATATCAGCTATAACTCCATAAGCGGCAGCGAAAGTGCCTGTGCAATATTCGTCAACATGGATTGGCCAGAAAATCCGAAAGCAACACACCTGATGATCCAGCGCTTTGCACCATTCGGAGGACCAGTAATGCAGGGAAAGATGACTGTAATGCCAACCCTATATTCGCAGCAACATAGAGCGAAAACGTGAGAAGGTATACCGGCCTTCTGCCTGTCTGATCTGCCATATCGCCCATAAAAGCGGGAGCGACACCCGCTACAACTAGGTACGATGTGATGGTGAGATTAATCAGTTCCAGGGAGACAGAGAGATCTCGACCCAGTGGGACAATAGCTGGGTAGTAAATGAAGGTGCTCAGCCCTGAGAACATAGCAGCGTACGAAGCAGCATAGCTTATCCACTTCTTTTCGGTCTCAGTAAAAACAGAGAACAGAGGGTTATTGGTGTTTTGAAAGCCTGTGGTGTCAGAAATTTTGATTGATCTCGCCGTATCGTGTGATTCTGTGGCCTTTTCAGGACAAGTTTCTGAGATTGCGTCTGTCATCTTGTAGTTTGATACCAGAAGCTCTAGACCGAATAATGCATAGGAAACTGAGATTTTAGGCAGCTGCTTGATGGTCACAGAAAGATGACTAGTTAACTGGTTAATTGGGCGATCGAACTGAGTGGAAGTCAGAATGATCACACTCACCTGCTTAACCAAGAGGACTAGCAGTTTATATATGCACACCGCTCAAGGAAGGGCTTCCCCTCTTCCTGTGCAAGGCCATTTAGATCTTGTTTAAGCGCTGAAAATGCAGAGTTCAAGTTATCCTTGCTCAGCCTTGCAGTAGTTTATCTATACGGCCGCTAAATCGAAGGACGATTGGTCGACTGAAAAACCCCCAAATGTGCTGAGGGTTATGATAGTCCTGAATCAGATCCTTAACCCTAGTTCTGACCCATGTGAGACGCCTTTGCTACCAGACGATTGGCAAGATTTGGCATCGCACTCATAGCCAACGCGCTGACCAACACTTAGATTAAGCGCCCTTTCGAGAATTTCGAGCGAATTCGGGGTCAGGTCCACTCGCGCATACCTTCAACTCAATCAAACCTGAAGAAAGCACAAACAAAAGTACATTAAATGAGAAAACTTAAGGAGCCTAAAAGTCAAGCATCCTCATTCTTATCGACTCATTCGATACTCCCGCTTTCCACTCCTTTAAAGGGAACAGGCACTCTAAACCCTAATCCATCATGGAAAATGACCACCTTTTCACCCACTCCGAACGTAATGCTTCCTTTGGCTGTGACGTTGTATACAAGTTCTTTATTCCGATACCAAGTAAAAGGAAGAAAAAAATGTCGGGTATAAAAGTGCTCCTGTTGTGTGTTCTCTATATTCAGAGAGCAAACCCAATCCTGCTCGTCAATAAATAACAGAGACAGTTCGAAGGTACCGAGAATAACCTTAACATCACAGAGGAAGTTTTCGTGTTGCGCCACTGATGGTACATTGGTCGCTTCGGGGTGTATGTGAACTGCATCCCATAGTCGGATTATGCTAGAGTACCTACCCTCATTGTTCATTCTCTGGCTTACAGTGGCAATTTTATTTGCTTGTTCGCACACCACAACTTGTGAGAAGGGAATGTCGTATATTGGCAGAGATTGTAGCATAATTCCGTCTTCTCCACTGATCATCTGGAATTGTAGCCAGTCAAAAACATATGCCTTTCCACTCCTAATTAAAACCAAATGATCGGGATCAGTTGGGTGTGAAACCCATTGTCGTTTCTCGCGAGGCATGAAGCGGTTAATTTCCGTGCTATGGGTGTCAAGACTCCAAACAATATCCGTTGAAGTTGTGGACACCAGGAGCCTATTCCCACTCTGGTTGGTTAAAACCTGAAGAATAGCGTTCCTTGTGCGCTTATCCAGCAATATCTTTTCAGTGTACCATTCACTCCTGTGTTTGCGAGAAAGCTTTCTGCAAATGATACGCCAGGACGTGTCAGCGCTTGTAAGAAGGGAGCCACTGGTGTTCCAGTCGAGCAGATGAACTCTTCCAGAATTGACGTGCCTACAGAGCTCCTGTGCAATACAGCCCGTTTTCATGTTAAACACAGCAATAGAGCCATCAGACCGCCCACAAAATAAGCAGCTGTCACCTTCATGGTCGCATGCAATTGCTGAGATGGAATGATCATCACCCCTGAATGTGGGTTTCTGTTGTTGAATGGGAGCACTGTGGGCGACGGTCAACGTGACGTCCGAGCCTTTACCGCTTGCCAATATAGACGGCTGCCAGGCATTGCAGCGGTCATCTCTCAGGTCAAAAAAGCGAAGACCGCTAGAATCAAAGACAATCTCCCGAACTCGGGATGTGTCGGACGTAATACGGTATAAGAGGTTCAATGTGTCGAAATCGAACAGATGGATGATTCCGTGAGTATCCCCGGTCGCCAGGGTCCGCCCACCAGGAGATACGGCCAGAGTATGCGCTAGGAGCGGGAAGCTGTTCTGCCAATCAGACCGACGAGGATGATACAACACCAAATCACCACTGTTGTAGGCAACCACCATGGAGGTTCCGAGTCGATCCCGGCGGAAAGCCACTGCGTTCGCATGAGGGATTGCACCTTCCAGTAAATCGCGTCTCTCAACTACCCATGCAATAGATTCCTCAGCTGCATTCCAAATGACAATAGGCGCGTTACGGGAAATTAATGCCAATTGGTCCAGTTCAGGCAGCAATCGGGCATTCCAGGTCAAATTCGACAGTTCCTCATCGAAGAAGTCCTGTTTGCTATAATAAGTGCAGTGACGTAACTCTGTCCCAGTTAACGTCTGGAAGACCGAGAGGCCTTTTTTTGTGGCAATATAAATAGTTGAGTCGTCATTACTAAAGCTGAGCGCCATAGGATCTAGGTTGCCGCTTCTACAAGCGGACCAGACGCAGCTGCCATCATGCATATCCCAGAGATTCAATTTGCTCGACGAGCAAGACGCTAGAAAAGGGTGTAAACCGGCAAAAGCGAGCTTTATCACGGCTCCGGGATGCTGCAGCCTCCTGACATATTCGCAAGTCGTGCTCTGGTATATAAATATACTGCCATTTGATAGTCCCACCCCGAAATAATTGGCGTTGCATGCAAGTGATAGAGCTTCGTCTTCCGGATAAAGTATGCTCGCTAAGCGATCATCCCAATCTTCTGCAATGCCAACAACCGTGAAACAATCGTGAATGCCTCCAAATTGGGAATAAGTCGCAGATTTCCGTGGACAAAGAGGCGGGAGCAGAAAATAAACTGCTTTTGGTATGGCAAGCAAATTGTTAGTGACGAGGGTACCTATATGGAAAAGGTCATGGATCCACGCTTCCACTGTGTGGACTTCCTTATCCAATGGCAATGAATGCTTTAGACGGCGGATGAGGTACGCCTTCAAATTTTCTGCGGTACGAGCTAGGAGAGACAGATTTTGAGATTGAATTTGACGCCCGATCCATTCTAAAACGTTAGAAGATTGAAGGAAGGTGCACAGCGAAAGGAGGGGTTCATCAGTTTCAACCGCGGACTGCAGGATGTGCTCGGAAAAGTGAGAACTAGCGTAGTCAGCGAACGGCGAAAGGTCGGCCGGAAACCCAGAAAGGTCATCTATCCTTGGATCCGACGCACAGAAGCCCTTTCCGGCCAGAAAGGTCAGGCATACCTCCGCGATACGGGCGTGTTCTTTTTCTTTCTCCATGGCAAACTCGGTCACTGGGCAGTTTCCCGTCAGGAACGGCCCGACCGTGTGGTGGAGTGTTTGAACGCCGGAAGTATCGTCGACATAAACGAGATGTCCACATAAGGGCCCGATACCAGCTTCAAGAAGAAAGAGCTTGTCTTTGACATCCAAGTATAGCATGTCAAGAAGCTCGGTTGCTTGTAGGGGCCTTCTGGCACAAATGGTCCATCTGAAAACTGCCTTTGCCATTTTTATGTCTGACGGGCTCATGGTCATCAGTCGTTGAAGGATTTGTTCATACATCCTGACGGGTACGACTTCGGAGGTGATGAGTCTTCTTACTGTCTCCCTTAAATGGTCGACGACGAGTGCCACCCATAAAAAGCAACCATTCGACTCTTGGAGCACACTCGTCATCGCATCCCCGCCGCTTGATCCACGAAATGACAATTCACAACCCTTCAAATAAAGTGAAATGTCGCCCAGGGAATCTTCAATCTTTATTTCTTCTTTGAACACTGGTATGTTATGGTGCTGCAGTAGATGTTCTATCTCCGGAATGGGACGGCTAGTTATGAAAACTCGTATTGGCAATGCGTCAAGCTTTGAGATGAGAGAGACGAGAACATTGAAATCGTCACATTCATCCAGCGCATCTATCACCCAATAATGAGGTTGTTGAAAGCGTTCTTGCATTATTACAGTCTCAAAGACGGATCTCCAAATTGAAATGCGGAGATTTAGGTCGATCGGTTGACGCTGTCGGGCCATGTCTATTAGCTTGTATCTGATTGGAGCGTTAATACTCGCCATTTGAACGGCGAGAGAGCGTAATGCATTGCAAAGCGAAGATCTCGCCTTGTCGCCATATGTGAAGGAATAGAATATACAATCCAAATTATTATCTTCCATGTATTCAACCACATGTGCTGCAGTCATTGATTTTCCTGCCCCGGGTCTACCGCGGAGCCAAAACACCTTTGGAGGCTGTTGCATGTTTCGCGCGTCCGGCGATGGAGATTCGCTTTCAAATCCGGGACGGTTGAGCCAGTCACGAAAGGTAGGCCTTTGTATAAGCCAGTCACAGGAGCCATCCAATTTGTCTAGGGAAAGGTCTAGCAGCGGATCTCGATGGTCGGGCGGCACGCAAAGGTATCTTGATATCCGCTCCAAATCTCCTCTTGGGATCAAATTGGCTTTCTCAGTTTAGCACGATAATATATGCGCTAACACGGTCAGAAATTCCTACCTTTATGGGCATGCGAAATGGCAGCTAAACACTCGCCACGAAGGATTTTATAACTAGGGTCACGCCGGTTGTCGAACTTACACATATGACGATGATCAGTGTTCAAGCGTCGGATTTTCTCGGATGGAAGGCCTTGGTAAGATTATACATGAGCAAAAGTGCATAATCGTATAATCCCAAGAAATAGGGCCTAGGGCGCATTTCTCATACCTAGAACCGCAGAATTTGGTTCAACTATAAGCTGCCGAGTGATCCCGAGATCGGTTTTGACTGTTTCGCAAAACGAGCAGAGGTAAATGCCTTCATGAGCCCAAACAAAAGTCTCATTCAGCTCCTATAAAAAGTGGGTAAGTTTACATCCCGAATCCAAAATGGCGTTGAACAGGACCTCCAACAATGATGAATCCGGGACCAACTCATCCACAAACTTTTTCGAGCCATTCATTCCTGGAAGATGTAGTAGGCTTTTCAGAAGATACACTGATTGCGCACCTCGATGTGGAGAGCCCAGGAAGATTATACCTCCTATCCGCATTGACACCTCTTTGTAAGTCGCTTGTTGTTTGGCAAGAATGTACGCCTGATGTAGGGGTTAGCGTATCATTGATCCCAGGTTTAACACTCAGTTTATTTGACCTTTTTGACGACAAGGCCGCCCATACTGTGAGCAACAAAAATGATTGGCGCCTGTCAGAGTTGTCAGGTAGATCGTCCTTGAAATTCACACTTCATCACTCACGTCGGGAGCCTCTCGAAAAGAGGAATGCCCGAGAATATCTTGTAGAAGATCGCGCCCAAAACCAAGTATTGACTTTACTTGGTTTTTGCCGGTCCAGCCGGATGGATAACCATAGCTATAAATTCGGGCATTTTCAAAGCCTTTTTCACGCGGCAGCCACTCTTTAGGCCAGAAGGACGCCGGATCGTTTGAGATATTCCACGTTTTATGTGAGCCGCCACCAAGCCCGTGGACCTAGGTCACGAGCAATAAGCATCGGGGTTCACAGTACTCAAGCCCTAGGTAACGTACAAAGATTAGATCGATACGGGGTTCTGGGGGATCATGGAGCAAGTTTAGTCCCAGAGGGTCCTTGGTCCTCTTCAGAAAAGGGGCAAACCGGCGCTCAATCAACGATTGCGGCTGTGGGTTAAGACCGACATCTCGCGATGGGACATTGGTGCTGCTAGATTGCTGATACTTTTCAGTTGGAAAAAAAATATATATATTGAACTGGTGTTATTTTCAGGATCTTACAGAATCCATCCGGGATGCCTATGGACAGGTTGTGTGACTAGGTTACCACTGCAGGATGCTGGGCCGGCAGCGCACTAACTAACTAACCCAACAAGAATTGAATAGCTTCCTCCAATTTGTTCACATAGTTAGTTAAAAGCATGGGTAACTATGTAGTTAACACAGTAACCATAACAATGGCGGCCATCAAAAATTGAGGGTGCTTGAAATACCAGAAGATTGAGGTCAACAAATTCCCCTCGCGTTAGCCGCTGCAGCAGCAACAAGTTAACTAGTTAACTAACTAAAGGTGACCTGTCATTGGCCACAGAGTCAACAAACTCGGTACCCTGTTCCCACGCAGCAAATCAGAGGAACAAGAACACATAATATGGACAAGGCGTGTCCTCTCTCATGAAATTAAAAAAAAAAAGAAAGAAAAAGAAAAAAGAAATAAAATTGCTTTCCGCACTGACCTTGCTCAGGCTGTTCACTGGCGGCTTTTTAACAAGCTAATAACAGAGTTAACCCCCGCTAATCCGCCCACTGAAGAGTCAAACCCTCAGCAAAAACAGCCCTTTGAATGTATGTACAGTACATACATACATAAGAATACATAAGACTTGTTAACAACCTCAAAGATCTAGGATAGAGGACATAGTTAAACAAGCCAGTTAGCAGTTGGTTACTCTGTACATTGAGATCATTGCCATCTCTGCACATCCAGACTTTATCCAAAACTTTACTTACTGTTAGCCATCACACCGCCCAAAAGATCTATTGAAGAATGGCCAGCGCCAGAAGAAAGTGTTATCAGGCAGATAAGTATGGAGAGAATGTTGAAGTAGATGACAATGTCAAAACTGGTGAGAGAACACTGTTTTTGGTCGAGGGAGATCAATTGACCGCCGCAAAACGCATCAGTACTTCCCCCCGGCTCCCAAATTTTGTCTGTAGAGCCTAGCGGAGCAAGCCTATGGGTTCAAACAGTGAGAATTGACGTCCAGGCACCCGACGGGAATATCCAGGCGTACTTCAAGAAAGTAGGCGTTTACCCCCTCATTTCTCGTTCTTGTACGAGTTTGATAGCTGACACCTAGTTTCGTACCAGACCGCGGCTGACGACCACGGACGCGCAATGATGGCAGGTGCTTTTGAAGCCGAGACTGCTTTACATGCAATCGTCCCAAATCACGTTCCCAAGCCGACTGCATGGGGCACGTACAAGACACAGCCTGACATTCATTTCTATCTCTGCGAATTTGTGGAGATGTCGGATCGCCTTCCGAGCTCTCGTCAATGGGCAGAGGCTACATCTCAACTTCATGTCCGAAGCGCCGGGAAGTGTCCCCAAGGAAGATCCAAATTCGGTTTCCATGTTACGACGCATCTCGCCAACATTCCTATTGACAATTCATGGCATGATTCCTGGGAATCATTCTGGGCCTGGCAGATGAAGTCGTTGCTAAAGCATGAAGAAAGAATAAGGGGACCAAATCATGAATTCTCCAGGCTTAAACAATCCTTCTTTGATAAGGTTATTCCGCGCCTGCTTCGACCCTTAGAAGCACGCGGTAGAAGAATCAATGCTTGCCTCATCCATTCAGACTTATGGCCTGGAAATGTTATGCACAAGGCGGAGGTGAGGGACCTCGTTATGTTCGATAGTTGCCCATACTGGGGGCATAACGAAGGTATGTCTCTGTGCGCAACCGTTCTCGTGTATTTCCAACCGGAAAAAAAAGGAAAAGAAAAAAGAAAAAAAATGGATATGATAGTAGCTTGGGGTATTAATGCGGTTGATATCTAGCGGATCTTGCAGTATGTCGAAATCCTCGCTATCGCCTGGGCAAGGCCTATGTCGAAGCGTATAGACGATGCATGCCAGAGTTCCCTTCTCACCCTACAGAAGATTTTGAAGATCGAAACGCTCTTTACGCCATGTATGCGTCCATAGCACCCACATATACTCCTGTTCCCTGTTAGCTAATATCCCAAACCCAGGAAGTTCCACATTCTCCTCTCGATCCTTTACCCCAGTGACTCACGCTACAGGCGAATGTAAGTCCCTTCTGAATGTCAGGTTCAAAGCGCCTAATGTAATGAGATACAGCCTTATGGACGAAATGAGACAGCTCGCCGAAAAATTCCCCACCGGGTACGCCAGCTATGAAGAAAAAGAGGAGATCGAAATCGTCGAGGAACCTATACTCTTAAGTTATATTGATCCCATTGCGCAGGAGGAAGATCGAAAGAGACGATCCATGAAGAAACAGCGCGAGTCTGCAGTTGAACGAAGTATCCCACTATTGGAGGTATTACTGTTTGGGATTCTGGCTATCTTGATTGCTTTGCCATTGGGTTTTGGATTGTTTCCGCCTGAAAAGCAGCAGGTTTAATTGGAAACCCTTAATATTTCTGCCTGCATCCCATTAGATATCAGGTTAACAAACTCATTAGCTTATAACCATGACAGGTATTGAATTTGAGTTCACCCGGAGCCTCAAGCATCCCACACTGGCCCAGAGTGTTTGACCAAGGTGGATGACTGAATTGATTCTGGCCTTAAGTAAAATGCTTTCATCACAAAAGTCTATTAATGTTCAGGACAGAATCAAACAAGTTGTACGAAGCTATGTGCACATCATTAGACAAAGGTCATTAGAAAAGCCGTACGTTATGTACACCACCTTAGATCATATCTGTATGTATGTAGACAGAATATGTATATTCCTACGTGTTATTGTTCCTGTTTGGATACATGGTAGTCCATGGTTGATAGATATATTTAGCATACTTTACTTTTTCTTTTAATCCAACGGGCGATTGCCGCAGTTTTCGTGCTCGTCTCTTCCGCATGGCTCGACTTTTCAAGGTCACCCGGCCCGGGCACAACCGAAACGCCCTCAAGCTGCTGCAAAATGACCTTGTCTTCGGGTCTGGCGAAATAAACAAGGGAATATCGGGTCTGGGCTTTTTGATGATCGGGAAGGATGCAGACGCGGTGCACACTGGCTCGAAGGGTGCCAGAGGATAATTTTGCAATTTGCTCGCCCAGATGAATGATGCAGTGCCCCGGAAGTGGTCCTGCCTGGATCCAGCGACCAGGTGCACCGTCCGCCCCATCCCCGCCTGAAGCAGACGCCTGACGGGCATGACATGGCTGCCGAACCTCCAATCCTCCTAGGGTGTTGAATAGAACAGTAACGCTGTTGGAATCGGAATGCTCATCTAATAGAACTTCATCTCCGGGGTTGATTCTGGATTCTTGGCTCGGTTGGATCTTGATCCAGCGAACTTGATCCCCGCTACAAGCCCCTTGGCGATGTAAGTTTTCAAGAGTTCCAACGGGAAAGTGCAAAAGTGTCGTGAGATGACGCAGTAGTATCGTTACAATTGCGTGAGATAGTTCGATATACGAGTGGATGGCTGGTCGAGCGGATTGGATGGTGGAAGGCTGAGGAAGGACGGGTTTGGATTTGTAAGCGGTCCTGGGGCACGGTATGGAGAGTATGTCGTCCTTTGAAACTGCATAGAATTCTTTCAAGTCGAGCATTCGATTAAAGTAGCCCTTATACCTGGATACCAGCCAAGTTAGCGTCGTGACGAACGGCTGAAAGGAGTGACAATAACAGCAAAGGATGAAAAAAAAAAAAAAAGAGCGCACCCATAATAACCACCAAACTTCCCCATGTCGTACTTCTCCTTTTCTTGAACAGAAAGATCAAAAAAGTGTTCTCCAAGCAAAAATAATTTGTCCACATCCTTTAGGATATTTTTGCCGATGTCTGTCATCTGGAGATCAAGGTAGAAAGCACCGAGCTCTCGACATGCATCTCCCAGGCGTTGCAATTCGGTTTCGTCGTTTGAGAGTAATTTGGCTAGAGATATACGCATCAAGGGGTGAATAGATAAAGAAGGGGAGGCGGTGTCAATTTCGGATGAGGTGGAGAGCGTTGCAGCGGCAACGGCGTCACCATTCCTGTGTCTTATTCTCATTCCATTGCTCTTCAGGTCTAGGTTCTCGGTTCCCGTTTGCCCACTGCCATGGCTTCGCCGGAAAGAAGATCTGGAACGATAGAAGTATATGAAAGGGAAAGGGGGAAACCGGAGGGGGCAGCCGAACATCGCGATGGCATGCTTATCGTCGTTATCGGGGATCCGTTGCTCATCAACAGTTATGTTCTCGTCACAGAGCCATCTTCAGAGAGATAGCATAAACCGTCTTTGCAGCTGCATAATATCGTGTCTTTTTCTTTTTCTTTTTTCTTTTACCTTCTTTTTTTTTTCAAAAAAAAAAAAAAAAAAAAAAAAAAAAAAGGAAGGAAAAAAGAGAAGAATACTCTGCTGATCTGTTACTGAACCCCCACCGGAACCCAGGCGAAGAAACATCCAGAGGAGGTCTGCGAGAACAAACTGGATCAAGGCAACTCACGGCGGTTCAAGTTCGACGAAAAGAAATTTTGATGGAAGAACGAGATGACGCGATCTTCCTGCATGCGCGATGAGGTGAGTTGACTACCCGTGGATGGGTTGAGACTGATCACAAGACGTACGGAGCAGCCGTGGGTGCGCTCCCTGTCCAGCCAGTTCCATCCCAGGACAAGGGTTGCCGAAGAGGCCCGTTCACGAAGGGACAATTCGAAACAGACAGTCAACACGGATCTGGCATCATTGTTCCGCCCTCTCTTCCCGATACAATGCGCCCTGATCCCAGGTATTTCCCTGTCAAATCCAGCGGCCCTTCAGAGGTGTCGGGTGCATCGGTACGGAGCGGATTAAGTGCTGGTGTGCTGTACATAGTTCGTTGACTGGTTAGTTAACTAGTCAGTTGGCTCCGCTGTCCAGCAGTGGCCATGACCATCAATTAACTAACATGCTCCGGGAGGGTTAATCCGCATCACAGCTCAACAGAATAGACAGTATCCTGCCCGTAGCATCCTGAGAATCCCTAACCCGTCTCCTATCTTCAACCACCCGCCTAACCTAACTACTCCGTTACTCCGTAGTTACTTATATAACTAACTTGTTGACTGCTACAGGGGAAGATGACATAATCTTCGCAGCCAAGCCCCAGTTCGTTTAGTCAGTTAACCCAGCCCCAAGCCCCAGCCCCTGCTGTCTTCAGCCCCCGCCCGCGAGGAGACCGACGACCATCACGAAGCAGAGCATGAGCCAACTTACCCCCTCGCCCTGTCCCATCGAGCACTTGTCTTCTTCACACTCAATTATCTTCGAAATCTGGCTCCGTGGTCGAAGCCGCCCGTCCCCTCCCCACCCCACCCACCGTTTCAAACACCGCCCTCCGCGGTTAATTCTCCCACCTGATAACTAGGTACAACAGGTTCCTCAATATGGTGGACAGACCGGTGCCCCAACCGGGACCAGCACGCCTAAAACGGAGTGCCGGCCCAGATGAATGGCTGGAAGCTGCCAAGGATTGTAAATACCTCTCCGAGCACCATATGAAGCAGCTGTGCGAGATCGTCAAGGAATACATGATGGAAGGTTTGCTCCCATTGCCTTCGCCTCCTGTGCGCCGCTCTCCGTGCCAGATGTTCCCCGAAAAGCAGAGGCTGACTTCCCCTTTCGGGCCCCCTTCAGAATCCAACATCCAGCCCGTCTCTAGCCCTGTAACCATATGCGGTGATATCCACGGCCAGTTCTACGACCTTCTCGAGCTGTTCCGCGTTGCTGGCGGCATGCCCGGTGAACCTAGCACCGAAGGCCCTTCCTCGCCGCCCGCCGTCATAACATCAGATGATATCGAACCTCCCTCTGTTATCACAGACCCGAAACTACGTAAGAAGATAAGGCTAAGTCCGCAACAAGAAGACCAAGACCAAGAAGAGGTCTGCAATAACGAGGCGGAGAAAATTGAGCGCGGCAGAGACACAGACGGTTCTCCCACCGGAAACTTCATCTTTTTGGGTGACTATGTTGATCGGGGTTATTTCAGCCTTGAAACCCTTACGTTGCTTCTTTGTTTAAAGGCAAAGTTAGTGATAATCGCTTCATCCCCAAAGGGGGAAAAGCAAAAAGAAAGATACTGATTGATCTCCTCCCTTGAAATTAGATACCCTGAGAAGATCACGCTCGTTCGAGGCAACCATGAATCCCGCCAGATCACTCAGGTTTATGGATTCTACGAAGAGTGCGTTCAAAAGTATGGAAATGCGTCGGTATGGAAGGCCTGCTGCCAGGTCTTCGACTTTATGACTCTTGGTGCCATTGTGGACGGCAAGGTACTCTGTGTTCATGGTGGACTCAGTCCGGAAATCCGCACCCTTGACCAGGTGAGAATAGTCGCTAGAGCTCAAGAGATCCCCCACGAGGGTGCGTTCTGTGATTTGGTCTGGTCGGACCCCGACGAAGAGCCATCAACAACGTGGGCCGTCAGCCCAAGAGGTGCAGGTATGTGACAACCTTCTTCGAACGTCTGTTGTCTCCCCTCGACATTTGCTGATGCAGCACATTCAGGTTGGCTGTTCGGAAGCAAGGTAGCCGATGAATTTTGTGAGGTTAACGACCTTACCCTAATAGCTCGGGCCCATCAACTTGTCAATGAAGGTTACAAGTATCACTTCAACAATCAAAATATGGTGACGGTCTGGAGCGCTCCCAATTATTGCTACCGATGTGCAAACATGGCGTCGGTCTGCGAAATCCGGGAAGACCTTAAACCCACCTTCAAGTTATTCGCCGCCGTGCCAGCAGACCAGAGACACGTTCCCCAGTCGAGACCCGTAAAGACGGAATATTTCCTTTGATCTGACATACAGCTCAACGCCCTTCAAGCAAGGATGGGCCATACATTCGGCATCCATCTTCTTGCGTCCGTTTTTAGGGTCTATATATGCCTTGGGCTTCGAAAACCCGAGCTTCCCAGAGGTCTCAGGCGAATGCATTTCCAGCCTCTAGGTATGTGTGTTTTGGCGTGACCCTCGGAATTGATTCCGGTTTTTCACGGAAATATTTCACTCTGGGTTTGAGCGCATGTAACGGTCGACTATATCCGACCATCAGCGCACCAAAACTGTATCAATACCTCGATCTTATAGGCAACTTCTCCCTAACCGATCAGCCAAACTCCCCTAACGCCATTCCTAAATAGACAGGAATCGGTGTCCGCAAGGCATGCTTCAGAAGAGTATTTTGGTGGCGGTGTAGCACATCTACCCCTGGGAGACAGCATAGAGATAAGCAGCCTATCTCATCGGGAATTTCCTTGCTCCCAAAGTAGGGCGAATCTCCACGGATAACGTTTGCTAAGTGTTTTATGGGAGTGGATACTCCTTGTTGATTGCTCGGCGGAGACCTGGATTGCTGCTTACCGCTGGCGCTATAACCGACGGTGCAAGGTTGGGCTTCCAGCTCTAGCGAAAATAGGGAATCATCCCGTTGTTGTATAACTAGCGTTCCCGCCATATCAGTGCTTAGTTATATGGAGTACGAAGTAATTGCCCGTTTCCTCGAAATCAATCACATTACCACACACTTTTTTTTTTTTTTTCTGTTTTGTTCATGACACACTTCCACAGCAACCTTAGAACTTAACGAGGGGATTCAAGGGTCAGGATCAAAGGGAGCAACTGCAGAAACAAGGCCCCCTGGCATCTCTGTACTGCATGAGGGTGGTTTAAACACGTTGCTACCCTGGTGTCCTCCATGTCAGCTATCCTCCGAGGCAGCGCAGGACAATACCGATTGAAGGATCATCCTCGAAGCGCACGCAAAGGATGGTGAAGCCGTAACATCAAGTGTATTCCTCGTTCCCAAGTACCTGTTACGATGCGGTTCCAAAAGCTTGAACTTGGCGATTACGGGGCTACTGGTGTCCTCGGTAATGCGCATGGGCTGACCCCAGGCAAAGTCGATCATGTATGTACAGAGCCCTGTGGTCCCACGTGTTCTCTAAGCATTATGCCAGCAATCAAGGCGGGTCATTGTAATGGAAGCGGGGAACCGGGGAGCTAGGGATAGGAGATGTAAATTCCAATCTACGAGCTATTTAGGATATTATAATTAAGTCATACTCAGCCCGAAACAGCTGGTCTAAAACATCGTCGCTAATTCAAAATGACCTTCCAACTCCTTGATGATATAACCTCCTTTTTTACGGCCTTTTAGCATTACTATCCACAACATACTGTTACAGAACAGGCATCGCTATATTTGGGGGAAAAAAAAAAAGGGTCACAGGTTAGCAAGGTGTGATACTCAGGTAGGGGAGGACGGGAAAACCGTACTTTTTCTCTTCCAGGTGAGACTGCCACGAGAAGACGAAACTGCCGAGAAAAGCGCCAATCAGGATACAGATGATGAAGTAACCATTATAGTACATGGCGAGCAGCATGACGAAGTAGGCGACACCAAACTGGACCATGTGTAACAGCGATCGCAAAGTATGCTCGAGCAACGTTCGTCTTCTCGGTCGGGCTGCAAAGCCGGGCTGCTGGACAGTGACGCCGGCGGTAGCGGCAACGCCTTTTGGCGGGGTATTATGGCCAGTGGGAAGCCTGCGAGAGAATATGGAGGGCTGTCCGGCCAGGTACCTGTCGTATTCGTGGCCCAGACGACGGAGAAATTCGAGACACATGACGAGGAGAACGACACCGATACATGAACCAGCAAACATGCCTCTGGATGTAATCCTCCAGGTGCTGGAGATGAAGCCTTAAAGGGAGAAAATAGGGCGTCAGTCGAGAGGGAAAGAAGACAAAAAGAAGACGTGGGGGTGGGTGTGTTTGAAGTGCTAAGATGGGACGAGAGCGTTTCTCTGGTAAAACAGCTCGGTGTAGGATTCCATTATCGTAGGATAGCATCGAATGAGACGTACAGGAGTCAATGGTATTCCAGTTCCATAACATCTGAGGGGGAGAAGGCAGCGTCAGTCAGTACAGTTGTCTCTCAAATGCTTCATTGCGCAAGGCCGTCAGCTTACGGAGATCTTGCAGCCGGTACCACCTCCGTGACCGCCGTGGCCGCCACCACCACCACCCATGGACATCGTTGAAGCTGGCATGGCGGCAGTTGAGGTCATGCTCATTCCCGAGTGCATATCCATTTTTTGGCGACGGAGAGAAAGCACTATGGGTATCTCAGCAGGAAGGAAGTCGAACGCAAGCAATACTTTTCTTCTTCCTTTGCGGGGAACTTCTTTGCTTTTTGTCCCTTTTTTTCTTTTTTTTTTTTTTTTTTGTTTTTTTCCCCTTTCTCTGGCGAAGAATGAAAAGGAAGATAAAAACGCCGGATCAACCAAAGTCAAGAGGAGAGACAACGCTGAGGAGGGAGTTTATATAGTGAGAGAGAGTCATTGTGAAACAGCGGCAGGGCGGGGATGCCGGGGAATTTAAAGGAAGCACGATCTCAGAGCTATCTGGGCGGGTTTGTTGAGCACATTATTACTTAACGGAAGGGCAGAAGGGGACGAGAGGGGGGTGGAGGGGCGGACAAGAGAAGCTTGGAAGTTCTCGGAGGGCGGGCACAAGGAACGGGTGGAGTCCGGCCCCTTCGCGCGAGCCATCAGCATCAGCATCATGACGGCTCCGTTCGCTTAGGTTAATCTGCTCAAACCTGCGCGCCCTCTACGGAGTACATCACTAGATTGGGTGTTGTGATGAATTTTTCGGGAGCCGACCGTTCTGTACACCGTGGTTGGCCTCACTCTGTGCACTTAACTCTCGAAGTTTGTGCCTCTTTCTCTCTGTCTTGTTTTAACTTCTTCGGATATCCGCTGCCCGGAGTGAGGTTTTCCATTAACTAGTTAGTTACTCAAAGTCATTCAGAAGCAGGCTCAAGTGGCGCCGCCCGTCTGAAAGTTAGGGTTGGCTAGTCCAGCGGAACCGTCAAGATCATACATACTGGATGTATTAACCACTAGCTCACCAGCTTCTTTTTCTTTTTTTTTTTTTTAAACCCAAAACAGCAGAAGTTTCTAAGGTTAGTTTAGTTTAGTGCATCCAAAGAAACCGAAAAGCCAAGGCGGGAAGCAATTTGGGGGGAGTTTGCAGTGTTTGCATCCTCAGAAATGCCTGTTGCTCTCACGTGATTCTAATGTTATGTCATCACTTGTTTTTGTTGTGGTTTTTGCTCTAGTTAGTTAAACCAACCAACCAAACCAACCAACTAGTTAAAAGGGTTTTGAGTCTTTCACATCCATCCCCGACTGGAACAGGCTAATTAATGAGGGTCCCTGGTTAAATCACTTCCTCCGCGCTCCAAGTTACCTTGCTCTTTGTTGTATGCTCACCTCTGTCGCTGCGGATCCCACTCCAGCAAGCATACATAGTTCTCTGCGGCGCCAGGCCACCACCCCCTCTCTCCACGATGGCTCACCGGCCGTCACCGACGTCAAAATCCACCACCACTGCGGGTCTCCTCCCCATTTCTCCAGCTGCCGCCGCCCAACATGCGCCCGTGAAGCCCGCCTCCAGCAGAGCGTCTGCCTCGAGACTCAAGCTCCTGGTGCGACGACTGCCCCCAGGCCTGACCCAGGCCGAGTTCGAAACCGCCCTGGGCCCGGCGTGGACAGTGGGCAAGGGCAAACTGGACTGGTTTGCCTACAAGCCGGGAAAATTGTCTGCCGAGTAAGCACGCAAAAACCTTCAAAATCCCGTCTTCTCTCTTTGCTGCTAAAAAAAAGCAAAAAATGGTAATTGGGGTTTACTGTCACTAGTCCCTCAAAGCCCTCGAAACCATCTCGCGCCTACCTTCGTGTTACCGCCTCCGCCATTGTCCCTGAGCTGTCCGATAGAGTCCGCGAGACCTCCTTCCAGGACTCACGCAACACCTTCGCCGATCCTGCTCTCCTTGGGCCTCCAACCCTCGAATATGCCCCGTACCCTCGCGTTCCCGGAGGCAAGGTCCGCAAGGACGCGAGGATGGGTACGATCGACCAGGATCCCGAATTCATCGCCTTTCTCGAAAGCCTGACCAACCCCGTCCCTAAACCGAGCACAGACGACATTGTGGAGCCCGACAAGGACGAGAAGATTACCATCACACCCTTGATCCAGTACCTCAAGGACAAGAAGGCCAGCAAGGCAAAAGAGGCCAGTGCACCGGCCAGGGCTACGAAGCCATCCAGGTCCGGAGCCAAGGATGTCAAGGTGGAGAAGATCCAGGCGAAGAAGGTCCTCAGCCGCGCCGAGAAAGCTGCAGCGCCAACCTCGGAAAAACAACAACCAAAAATCGACAAGGCGGCAAAGGACGCTGCCAAAGCTGCTAACAAACAGATTGCCAGCCAAGCGTCTAAGCAGAAAGGAGCAAAACCCGCTCCAGCTAGCAAACAGAGCGAGGTCCAACCGCAGCCACCCGCACCGGCGCCGCCGGGTCCGCCGCCCCAACGCAAGCGAGAACGAGGCAATTTGAGTGCAGCTACCAAGATTCTTCGACGAGACTTGGGACTCACGCCGCCCCGCAAAAGGGGAGAGAAGTCCAGCACAAACACGGCTGCTACGTCCAGTGCAACCGAATCCAAACAGGCCGCCCCGACGCCTTCTACAGGGAGTACCAAACAGCAGGCTACGACGACTAAACCTTCCAAGGAGAATCCACCGGCCAAGGTTACTCCTCCGAAGCTACTCAAGAAGCCTCCTACAGAGCCTGCAGCGGCGCGGAACGCGGCCAAGGCAACGAATCCTCCCCCGGGTCCGAAAAATGCTCCGCCAGAGAGTGCCAAGGCTGCCGCCCCCCAATCAACCGCCACGCAGGCCTTCCTAAAACACGCGAACCCGTCGCAAGGCGTAACAGAAGACCTGCTCGAATCGGGATTCTCCAAGTTCGGCAAAGTGATCAATGTTGAGATAGACAAGAAAAAAGGATTCGGCTATGTCGATTTTGCGGAGCCAGAGGCATTGCGGAAAGCAATCCAAGCAAGCCCGGTGCAGATCGCGCAGAGCCAGGTGGTCGTCTTGGAGCGACGGTCGACGGCAGCAGTTGCGCAGGCGCGTGGGAACCACATGCGGAACCACCCTCCGCCGGTGATGCCCGCACACTCCCCCGCAGGCGGCGGCGCAGGCGGAGGCGGTGGTGGTGGCGGGCCTACACCAGCCCGAGCACCACCACAAGGACCTAGGGGCGGAGGCCGCGGAGGACCAAGAAATCGCGGTGGTTACGGCAGAGGAAGAAATGGTCCTGGCGGAGGCGATCGGTCTAATAATGCGAACACAGGACCAAAGCAAACTGCAACTGCCCCTCCCGCCAAAACTACATCATGAAGCATGAATCCCAACATTTCTAAATTCATTACTCTGTCAGATGCTTCTTATATTCCTTTCGAGAAGTTCAAGGCATGCACTTGTAATCTTGTAATATCTCCCCATCACTGAAGATGAAGTACGCCAAGGCAGCAATCCCAATTGACCGAGCATATTGGAACGTTGAACTTGCAGCCAGCGTCGAGGGGAATATCAATCCTACGGGTGACAAGGCGGTAACAACGTTTTAGAGCAACTGCGGGAATCAAGTGACATTTTATGTATGAAATACGAAGTATTCTTTGACAATAGATCACAGATTTACAGAGCGAACAGTTTCTTTTCTCATAATTTCTCTCAATATTCATCACAACTATTTCATCGCATCACTTTCTTTACTTTTTGCTAAAATACAGACAAAGTGTCTTATCCCCCAGAAACTCACAACCGAACGCACTTTTTCAATATCCTTCAGACCTCCTCGACGCCCACCTAGGGAGACCGACCGAAGTCAAAAGGCACATCCGCTAGGTCAAGATCATCACCACTCCCTAGACCCAGATAGCCCGAGATGCATCCGCCCGCGCTTCAGAAGCCAGAGGGTATCCAGAAAACGCGAGGGCGATCTCGAGCAGGGTCGAGGCGGGAGTATAACGGCTTCACTTTAGGGCATCGAGGACATTGTGGTCATCAGCAGGATTGAAGTTTACCCCTGTAATAAGAAATACAGAGTGGGACGTCTACTGAAGAAATGCTGTGAAGGAAGTCAGTATGGGCCGTAACGAAGCATCATGACAAAAAGGCAGAGCTGTATACTCACATTCTTTAGAGTAGAGTCGACTGAAGAAAAAAAAAAAGAAAAAGGAAACCAAAACCGAAGCGACGAGGGAGCGAGCTTTATAGCGCTGCGCCGCCATCAAAGTTTGCACTAGCTACTAAGCGAGTGTGGTGTGGGCTGTGATTGGCTGCTTTCGCGGTGGGGCTGTCGGGGCCGGAGTTACTTTCATCCAGCTGCCCTGCCCAAACGGGTAGGCATATCCGATTCCCAGGCTGTTGATGAATTTGCTCGCTGGTTCATTCATTACAAACATTATCATTGACTATCAACTTGCGTTCCCTTTGCATCGGGTCTCATTTTATGTCACCAAATAATAATAATAATAATAGTTAGGGTTTAACTACTTCCGTACAGTTTTTGGAAGAAAATACCACTTAAGAGCCAAGTGGATCCTTAAGACGCCATACAAATGATCGTAAACGAAGATGCTATATCTCCACAACTCCTCCTTTGGGCACCGACCCGGCATCTGACATGTTGCCTTTGTTCTTGCCTTTCCTATACACACGTTGGTCGTTGGGATCGAAGCCACCGTTACCCCACAGAGCCCATTCATCCGTCTCGCTCATGTAGTCCTCCGGAGTGAACGACACGCCCTCGGCCTTCTCGCGCTCCAACAGTTCGAAAAAACGCTCATAGTTGATCTTTGTGTGCCACTTGCCGTCAACATGGAATCGACGCGAGGCCAGCAGGATACAGCAGCTGTGGCTGTGTTCTGCCCCAATTCCGTAGCCAAGGCCGCGTCTGTTCAGCTCTTCGTTCAGCGCGACCGCAAACGCCGCCACTTCTTCGTAGAAGGGAACGTTTTGCATCGTCAGCCCCGCGCCAGCGCTCGTGCTCGTTCCGCAGTATGTCACGCCTTTGATCTCCACAAAACACGGAAGCCCCCTTTCCACAAGGTCGGCGTATCCGACGACTTCGTCATCGATATTGAATCCCTTCACCAAGGTAAGACGATACACCGTCCTCTGTACGTGCGTCTTCTCCCGAATGATGTCCAAGCAGCGCTGGAAGCGCTCCCAGAAATCTCTATGTAAGGGACGGTCGATCTTTCGCAAGCTGTCACGGTTGCTGGCATCGATCGAGACGTAGAGCTGTGTTATCCGGTCAAGTGCCGCAAGTTGGTCCGGGTGCTGCGCGTTGCAGACGAGGAAGCTCGAAATATGTTCGCTGTGAAGCATGGACACGAATTCGTTGATGTGAGGGTAGAATATTGGTTCACCAACCAAGCTCAGTGCACAGTGCCGGATGCGCATGGCTTCCGCAAATCTTTCAGCACGAACACCCGGCACACCACGCATCATCTTGATCTTTTTGTAATGGCCTTCCTTGACCCCTTGAAATATTAGCTCCGGCGGGTCCACCTTCCACCGCCATGTGGTGCCGACGGGATTCGTCCCATGTCTCCAACAGAATACGCATTTGTTGCTGCACGACAAGGATGGCGTTGTCTCCATACAAAGATGCGACTTGATACCGTAGAACGAGTTCTTGTAGCATGATCCACGTCCTCTGAGAGCTGATTTCGTCCAGCGACAGATCTTAACTCCCGAGTGGGAACCGACTATTGTGTAGCCCTGTTTTGTCAGGGCCGCATACGTGGGAGAGGTTGTGGGTACCATTTCCTTTGGAGTAGACGTAGCAAACGATGTCGATGTCTTCGAATATGTCGTAAAATCAATTGGTATATCTGAACCCTGCTTTGCAGAGGCGTCGCCGCCGAATTTAATATCCTCCAAGTCGGTAATTTCGGCTCTCCGAGCCTTTCGCGGCCTGGATCCAGGGTTAGGTACACCCTCATCATCTTCAACGTCCTCTTCATCACTTTCAAGCGGGTCCCCACTGCCAGGCACTCCTTCGCCCAGCGCGCCGTTGTTTGTAACCATGTCGCACAGAACCTCCTGCATGCCACTGCACCATTCGTCGAGGGCCTTGTCGCCGTCAGCTTTTACATCACCCAGGCCTAGTGGATATGCTCTTTTCCTTCCAGTTAGCTTCGCCATCCACTTATCCACTTCTTTTGCCTGAGAACAGAACCCTTCTTCTTCGGTGGGCCATCCTTCCTTGTCTCCAAAGCCAAACACCGCGTACCCCGCCAGTCCCGATAACGGCGCCGTGTCAATGCGGAAATCATGGTGCGTTTCGTCCAGGTGGCCCAAAAAGGTATTCAAGATCGTATCGATGTTGTAGGTTGGAATTATAATACAGTAAAAGTACAGGACGTTCGGGTTCGATTCGGGGGCTTTCGGAGGAGAGACGAAGTAGTCGTCAAAATCGACATACGATAGATCATATAGCTGGGGAGCCAGAAGTCTCGACGAGTGTCTGGAATCCTTCAATGGCTCGGTGTTAAGCCTTTCGAGGACACGCTTCGCGCTTCGTTCGGTGGACCCCGTGAGGGACGAGAAGAATATGATGGGTTGTATCGAGATTTCCTTGGTCGCGTCGGAATCCCCGTTGACCAGCTTCGTTCCTTTCTTCGCGGGTTTCGTTCCAATGACCCTTTTTGGAGGCCGGCCCTTGCTCCTCGTTGCAGCGCCATTCGGCGAAGGTGTTCCCTCCTCCGGAGTGGTGGAGGAGGTAGGTGGCTCGGTCCCCGAGGTTGGACGGCTTTGTTTGGCTTTCGAGGACTGGGGAGGTGAAGATATCGACGGTGGAGAAGCTTCAGCAGTTTTGTCGCGCGCTGCAATCAGATGAGAGAGGATGAAGACGGCGGGCAAGAGCACGAGGGCATACCCCCGATACGAGTGCCATAGCGAGAGAGCCCCTAGTAACTCCGGTCAGCTGCACTCTATTCTGCTAAAAGTGACAAGGAATGGAAAAGCAAAAACATACTCTGCGCTCCGGATGCGAACGTCTCGTCCGGCATTTTGGTCAGCGGCCTTGGGGGGAAGCAAGCTTTGGGTGTCAAGCGCACTGAGATCTGGTGGGGAATATGCGTTATGGTGTTTTTTTGAGTTCGCTATCGAATTTTCTTATCGTTTTTGCATCGTTTGCACTGTTTGCTCGCTGCGCAGTTTGCCGGGCTTGGCGACTGGAGGCACCTGACCTGAACCGTGCCGCCGTCGCGGGCTTTTGTGAGGTCGCAACTCGCCAAAAAAAAGGGGGGGAAATCCCCGCTTCCTCCTCCTCGAACATACACGATGGATCTTTTTAACTCCCAGTCTTTCTGGGACGACCAGTCTTGAAGAGACTTCTACTCTGTACTTCCGCCTGAATCTCCATGGTATTTACTCCATACCTACATAAATGACTTGAGACGCACTCAAAGTTTGTTGCACAACGAGGAAAGAAAAAAAGAAAAGAAGGCGCTCAGACATTCGCTAATTCATAACTCAGACTTGAACCGCTAAAAGTGCTTTGCAGAATCCGACAGAAACCCTCCCATCCGGCTTTTTGATCTTGCTTTAACGCCAACAAATGACAGGTATCAGGAAATAACAAGCAAAAAAAAGAAAAAAAAGAACAAAAAAAAGAATAGAAGAGAAAATAAAATAAAAAGAGACGCCCGCTAACGAACATCAAGAAAATCGCAGCCTCAAGATCCGCGTCGATCAAGAAGAGAAGGGAGCGTGAGTCTTCCACGCAGCTCCTCCCACAAGGCTTGCTTGCTCACAGAACTTCTCTCAACAGCGTCTCGGTTCTCTTCTGCTCGCCGGAGCAGGTACATCATACATTCCTGGGTGGTGCCCCAGACCACGTACTTGAACACGTGGTTGTTCTCTTCTTCAAGGTCCTTTACAGGTGAATCAGCAATCCTGGATCCGCTGCATGTCTGGAGACGGTCAACACCTACCGGTACCTTCTGTGTCAAACTCATGGAAAGTTCATCTGCCATTCCCATCAGTTGCGCGTACACAACGTCGGCCAAGGGTAAACCTCGCCTGAGTTGCTCCTGTCGCAACTCTCGCATCATCTCCGTGCTCTCCTTGTTGTGACTTGCAAGGACAAGCCCAATCTTGGGCGCAGACGGATTGTCGATGTGCTGAGTGGCCAGCATGACGGCGGCATTGTTGAAGGCTCGATCCGTGTCCTCCTTGGTATCGTGTATCAAGTGACGAGGATCGCTGTTGATATATGCACCGCGCACTAGTTTAACCCCGAGGCTGAATTTCCCCTCTTGGGCCATCCGAAGATGCGATTCCAATGTCGCCGTGGATTCTTTCAAGTACCTGGAGATCGATATCTGTTAGCCAAGAACGCTCGAACATACCTAGTAAGAGGGGAAAAAAAAGCAAAAATAGTAAAAAAGGGGAGAATGAAATAGAAATAAAAACTCACATCTGATAGGTGTTATATACAACGGTCTGGCCGTCACGGTTGTACTTCTGCATAAGGTCCATGGTCCAGGAGTCGATGCCCGCCTTCTGGACATAATGCTCTGCGTCGAACAGGAGTTTTACCTCTTGCTTTCGCGCAGAGGCGCAGATCTGCTCCAAGGCATCAGCCATCAAATTGTCTGGGTTTTGCCCGGTTTCTAGGGCGTGCACACAACCGATGCCAGCGCCGGTGTACTTCACCGCGACATAATCTCCACGCTGTGCGTAATTGATCGTCCGCAGAGTTCCTTGAAGCCACTGCGCAACATGTTCTTTGTGCAGTGCGTCAGAATCTGCTGTTCCAGATTGAAACTGCGAATTCGACAGGTCTACTTCTCGTGCATATGCCAAAATCACCCCCCGATAACCCATGCTCCGCAGTCCCTCCACTGTCTCTCTGATCTCGGCCTCTGTTCTCCCGGCACAGAACTGTGCATAGAACATGTTGTCGAGGAGGAATCTGAAGAGGGCGTTCCCGGTCAGAAACTGGACATTTCGGTGAATCACGGTCGACGCCATGTCCATGAGACGTGGGCGAGACATCACGGTCTGCAACATGATGCTCCGAAGAAGGGAAGCAGTGGGCATCCTGTCCAGGATGCGCTGCGGTGGCGAAGGCCGAACAACGGCGGTGGGAGCAGCAGCAGCGGCCTCGGACTTGGAGCTATCCCATGGCGTCTGGGGGAGGTTCTCCGGGGACTCCGAGGGGACGTGAAACGCTCGAACGTGACGCGCAGAGTGAATCAAGAATAGATTATTTCCATAGCTGAGTTTAGAGGCCCTACAAACTGGAGAAAGTCGGTAGGCCATATCTCGACTGGACGGGAGGGAGGGTAAGGAAAGTGGTTGAAGGAGGAGAGTCACGGGCGGAAACCCCCTTTCCACCACCTAAAGGGGGAGCCCATATATAGACCTTCTGGGAAAGCAGTGGTCCAAGCTTCGCCCAGGTTGCTCTGGGCGGTCAGGATGGCGTCAGCATCGTGGCCGGAGCTGTGTCGAGCTTGGTTCATTGAGCAGGTGGCACAAGGGAACAGCAGCGAAAAAGCAACGAAGGTGCCGGATGAAGTCGCTTTTTGGCGGGCGTGGCACTCCAGTTCCCACGGCTTGCAGGCGACGCTTTCCGTCGCTTTCCTGGAAGTTCCGCCACCTACGCCTCATGTGACCTGCTGCTTTTGCCCACTGTGCGTCGCCCGAAGGGAGCTAGCCCAGCGTGACTAAGCCCGCCGCTCAAACTCAAGACGGCAGCAGGAATGGCCGAAGGGGGTCTCGACCGACCAACACAAAAAAGAGACGCACGAACGAACCAACGAAACCCCGTCTTGTGGGTAGTGCTGAAAGGAAGAGACACAAAGGAGACAAAGAGAGCTGCGTGACGGAGAAACACAGAGACAGAGAGAGAGAGAGGGAGAGAGAGAGATAGAGAGATAGAGAGACAAGAGGGTATCGTGAGACTCGCGCTGTCACCTGCGAGCCTCACCACCACCCCCCTATCTGCCCGTGACTCAGGTGGAATTTGGTTGGCGAGCCGGCCGTCCACGGATCTCCGGCAGGACGACAGAATGGATACGGGCCTTGAACTCGTCAACTCCCCTTCCCTCCCTGCCCCGTTCTCCGTGCTCCGGTACGTGGCCCGCCAAACCTCCACTGTTTATCAGGATACCCTGGCCCACAGACGCTTTCCTTTTTTTCTCGCATTGCACCGCTGATTGGGCGAGCTCTGCGTCTAACTCGCGCTGGGAGAAATATGCTTAAATTAGCCCTTTTTTGCTGGGTGAAAGACTTCGGGCCAGCCGTCAAATCACGACTGCTGGGCTGGCCATTCTTATCGCCCGATTACCCGCCATTCGTCGCGGACCGGGATCCCAGGCCACCCGCCTCGTTTCCTCGAAGGCATTTCGAGAGAACGAGCAATATAAAGATAAAAAAAAAAAAAAAAAAAAAAAAAAGAAAAAAAAAAAATCAAACCTGTGCACGAACTAGTGTAAGTGACCAAACCCTTTTGTACGGAGTACTCCGTACATACTCTGTTACTCCGTACTTCCTCCGTACCGCAGCAGAGAAACCACGAGGCACGTTGATCACATCCAATAGCACACACCCAAAATCCCGCGCCGACGACGGAAGGCCGGGGTGGGAAATCCTGTTGACGATCCCCGGCTTCTCATCCGATTGCGGAGAACACCACTAACACAAGCTAGCTCGGCATCGTAGAACTCTTTGCTGTAACCCATTCATTACCGCCGGGCCAATGCAAGCCTCACCCATCACTATGTAAGATTACATTGTCCCTCATTCTTTACGATCATGATTACTTTTTTTCACCACTGCGACCACACTCCTGAACGGCGACCAGAATTAAAATTGCTGCCCCCTTGTTAGTTAGTTGCTTAGTTTTTTTTTTTTTTTTTTTATATTTTTTTGTTTTTAACTTTCTTGGTAACTTGGGGATCCGACAAAATAACAGAATCATGCTGGTCCTTCGCGAATCGGACATCTTCCCCATTCTCAAGGGCTTGACGCGTGACCAATGTCAACATCTGCTCCAGGCGCTCTGGAAGGCCCTCGCCAGTTACTCAGGCCATCGTAACGGCGCCAACGGAGAGAAACTTATCCATCAACCAATCCGAGAGCAGATTGTGACCTCAAGGAACCACGCAACACTTTTCATGCCAGCATCCGATACCAACACGACCACAGGTATCAAGATCGTAACTCTGCCGGGCCATGGCGGCCCGCCCAAAGGTGCCATCAACATATGCTCTCCCGAGGGTGACCTCGAGGGATTATTAAACGCTGAGCTAATCACGGCATTCCGGACCGCGTTGGCCAGCATGATCCCGTTTCAGAGATTCCAACTCCGAGAGGGCGCAAATATCCTGGTATTCGGGGCTGGAAAACAGGCGGAATGGCACATTCGGCTTGCTCTCTTACTCGCTGGAGAGAAGATCACTAAGATAACAGTCGTGAACAGAGGCGCCAGAGGCGCTGAGAGATTAAAGAGCGATTTGGATGCAGATGTTCGCGGGATATTCCCAGGGATGATGATAAGTTACATAGGGAGGGATTCGTCGACGTTCGCGGCAGAGATTCTCGGCACATTGGTATCTGAGGCTGATGCGATCTTCTGCTGCACTCCGTCGACCGAGCCGCTATTTTCCAGCTCATATCTCGGAGATAAGCCCAGGTTTATCTCTCTTATCGGCTCCTACAAGCCACACATGCAAGAAATTGACTCTACAACCCTACTCTCTGGACGTAGTACGATTATCGTTGATTCAAAGGAAGCGTGCCTGCACGAGGCGGGCGAGCTTATCAAGGCTCAGGTATCTGAAAGCCAGCTAGTAGAGATTGGCGAGTTGTTTGAGAATCCGCATGCGGCTTCGAGGCTGTTCGATTCAGGCAGCAACGTGGTCTTTAAGTGTGTTGGAATGGGCATTATGGATCTCGTGATTGGCAGGGAGCTTCTCGCCCTTGCGAAGGCGAGACAAGTTGGCATTACAATCGACGATTTTTAAACAAGGGCACGATCGTCGAGAGTTTCGGGCAGCAGCGTGCCTATTTTTGGCAGGGCAGGCGATCGCCAGACGATCGCGCCTTGCTGCTCGACGAGACGCCGATGGGTTCGACTAGGACACTTGGGGATTATCATTGAACGCCTTGAACTCTACCTGCTTGCGGGGTTGCCCCCCTTTTTCATCATCCTTGGATCCCTTCTGTGGATGACGGCGGGACCAAAGGCGGTGCTTCCGCTGCCAACTGGTCAAACAGATGGCAATGTAGTCGGTGTGCGGGGGGGGAAATAGTGCTGTCAGCTTACTAGCGAAGGTTCTGTGTCGATAAATTCTATATACAAGACGCCACTGAACAGAATTCTGTTGTCATGAGATAGCCGATTTGCCACCAAGCTACCCATTTTCTTCTTGTCGCCATTTATAGCATTCCCTACTTGGCTTGTGACTGTCTTGGCGCTTCCATTTTGTTCGATGATCTGCTCGAAGATTTTCCCCTTTATTCTTGGAGCGATGTCGCGGTCTGCTGTAACACTACCACCTGTTCAGACTCCCTCTGGGTCGTACTCTGTGTGTGCTGACGAGTAAGACATCCTTGGATTTCCGTAGGCAGCCCATAGTCCCACAGCGTCAATGGTGGACCAGAAGATGCAAAAGTAGGATGCTCTGAACGGCAACAAAGTACCCAAATATATTACAGCAATCGCACTCAGGTAGTCCAATGCTGCCTTTCCCCGGTCACGCTCTCTGCCATACTTGGTATTTGACCCTTTCGCGGCCGATGTGGCTGTCGCAAGGGCACAGCCCAGCTCCCTGTTCGGCTCGCTGGAGAGTGGTATGGTAACCGACATTCCCCTATTCTCCCAAGGATAACACGCGCGCACACATACACACCCTCTTCTCCCAGGGTAGGAGCCCATGTCGGCAGGCCTGGTAGGCTTGGTGAGGGCGGATTCTTTGCTGGGAGAGGGGATGGGTGGTAGAAAATCGCCATTGACGTCAATATCTCCTGGAAAAAAAAGAGGGACCCTGTCGGTGGGAGACCTTTCGCCACATCTGGAAGGTAAAAGAATGGCCCATTGATCAGTGATTGCCTCGTCCTCCGTTGCCTCTTCCGCTGACCCTGTTCTACCGGAGACACAGCCAATCAGCCATGCGACTGCGTGTGTTGAGGTGTGTCGACGGTTCAGCTTCATATTCAGCTTCAGCTTCAGGTTTCAAGCTTCCACATCAGTCCATTGAACCCAAGCTAAGAGTTTTGTGGACGTTGGATGGGATGGCAGGTCCATATATCTCAGGAGAGCAAGGACGGTCTTCACGCGAGTAGACACGCGAATATCGGGTCAGGAGAGGGCGGAATGTGTGAGCAATACCTCTGTACCAGGGGAGGGGAGACTTGCGGTTGAATTTGTTCCAGAAGAACCTTCCACCCCACGTTTCTTGGGTAACTTCGACCATACCCTGTCCGCTGTCTGGATGGATGTTAGCTGTGAGGGAAACCAGTGGAGGATTTGGAAGCGAGAGGGAGCAGGGGACCCCGGCAGATCAGGCTTGGCCGAGGGCTGTCTTGTGGGAGTGATCTGGCCCGCCGTTTTAAAATTTTTAAAATTGCAAAGAGGCACGGGCACGGCCAGTGGGATGTTTCGCCAATGCGACTTTTGTCAGCAGGGAGGCTGGACTGGGCCTGGCATACGGAGGAGCGTACAGCAGATGGGCACGTAGTTCAGTTACGCGATGCGTGAGAGAAAGCTGTTTCCTGGCTTAGAGAGAGGTAAGCTGGTGGGCTTAGGGCTGTTGGAATTTTTTTTTTTTTTAAACGGTACGGAGTATGGTACTCCGTACTGTTGTGGATTGAGGCCGGGAGGGTTGCCGAAAGCAAATGCCAGAGTAGCCATGTCCCTCCTTGCTCCGTAGTGGACCAGAGAGACCCCATGCCGGAGGGATCCAGATCGATGGGATGGACGGAGGAGGGTCGCCCCTAGTTTGATGGGAACTGAGACTCCCGGCAAAAAGAAGAAAGCTGTGTGAGGGGGTGAAGAGGAGCCAAAAAGAAAAGGCTGGGGTTGTTTTTTTTTTGGTCCAATCCTGTTTTCGGTCACCCCGCGCCATTGCCCCATGTAGACTAGCGCCATCCTTCGGCAGTGACTAAGCTTCGACGTTAGTCAGCTGTCAGATGAGGGGGGTTTAAGCTGGGGGGCCTTGGCACTACTTGTAAAGTTACGGAGCACCTTAGGTACCGAGTTATGGGTCCACTGCCCGCTCTACTCTGAAGTCACACAACCAGCCAGACCGCCCGCCCTAGACAGCTGAAAGAGTACCGGGCTAACTAAGGTACCTGCCCTGCCTGACTAAACACACCCCCCCCATCATGCCCCCATCGCCTCCTCCCTCCCTTCACTCACTCCCTCGCTCGGTGATTGTTTTCCCTCTCCTCCTCTTCTGTTCCTTTCTTTTTTTATATTTTTATTTTTCTTTTTTTCTTTTCTATATTTGTTTGTCATATTTCTGTTCTTCTTTTCTTTTTGTGTATATTGTCTTACTATCCTGTTCTTTTGCCTCACCCACGAGTATGCGTATTCAGCGTTACATGTTCTATCTGCCCGTTATCCATTGGTCGCGTTGAAGTCTCCCTCGCCATATCGTCTCCTCCCTCTTGCTGCCATGCCCACCGCTCCTCCTCCGCCGCCGCCACCACCTCCTCCTGCAAAGGTGCACAAACGGGCTTATCAGGTATGCATCGCTTGATTTCATTGGCTTTGCTCCCATTGTCCTCTGCTAGCCTTCAAATGTATCCAAGTCTCTCTCCCCTCCTCTCTGCTCTCGTGTAAACATCATGAAATGCAACGGCACAAAAAAAAAAAAAGAAAAGGGCGAAATAAATTTTCAAGTGCAGTTGGTGAACTATTTATCTCTCTTCTCCGTTTCGCCCCCATATAGGCCTGTATTCCGTGTCGAGAGCGCAGAGTCCGATGTGATCTCGGTTCCGTCGATCACCCGCATCAGGGTCCCTGTGGAAGATGTCGTCGGGAACGCAAGTTCTGCCACTTTTCCGCTACCCGCGGAAAGAAGAAGTCGGGTACATCCTCCGGCGCCTCCGTCCCCGCCGACCACCCCCAGATCGGGAGGATCGTCTCCCTCGACGGCACGCTGGCCACTCTCGCCGGTGTCAACGTGCTGCCGCTGTCGGCCCATGGCCGCACTGATAGTGTGGGTTCTGCTGGTAATCCTCCTCCCGCCATCAAACCCGGTTTTCCGCTCCTCAGTCACGTGATATCTACTGATGCTCCGCTGTCCGGTGCCGCAGGCGGAGACAAGGCTGCCGCTGCCCTGCTGCGCGACGCCGCTTACACCTCCCACGATGCCCTCAACCTGCTGTGGGAGGCCGGTCGTCACAGCGAACGCGTCACCGGCTTCCACCACGACTCCAACCCCTCCCGCCTGCGGGCCTCCGCCGACGAAGGGAACCGCCCTTCCGCCCCGCCGAGCAACCACGGCAGCACCACGAGCACCGCCCTGCAGCCTTGGTCCAACCTGCGCTTCGTACGCACTGGTCTCTTCACTGCGGAGGAAGCCCTGGACCTGGTCAACTACTTTCACAAGTACTTAGCCCCCTTCACCCCTATCTCCTCCACTGCTTATCAGGATCAGTCAATGCATGGAAAGCTCTTGGAGGAGGAACCCATACTTGCTGTCACTATCCTGATGCTGGCATCTCGCTACATGAAATTCTCCGGCGCTGGTGCGGTCTCACGCTCCTACATGGTCCACGAGCGCCTGTGGCAGCACCTGCAGGGCATGATCTCTCGCATGATCTTCGGCCAGGAGCAGTTCAGCGCCGCGACCCACGACAACGGAACCGCAACGGAGACTATGACCACCCAGTCCTGTGAATCCGCTCTCGCCGGCTCCAGCTTCGGGAGCCTTCGCACCCTTGGCACCTGCGAGGCCCTACTCCTCCTGTCTGAGTGGCATCCGCGTTCGCTGCACGTCCCCGCCGGAGATGATGGGGACAGCATTATCGTCAAGGACGAGGTTCGCCGCACGAGAGCCAGCACGTCAGGAATTGGCGGCCGCATTCGGATCGATTGGCTGGAGCCCGTCTGGAGATCTGACCGAATGTGTTGGTCGATGCTGGGGAATGCTCTGGCCCTGGCCGTCGAACTCGGAATCTTCGACGAATACGACAACACCACTATCGGTGCTAGAGAATCCCGACGTGACATCTGGAACAATCCACACTCGAGCCAACGGGCGTATCTCGTCCAACATTTACTCTGGGTCTACCTGACCCAAACCTCGGGCCGGCTAGGTGGGTTTTTGCCCAAGAAAATACTCTAAGCAAATGCTATCGATTTCGGTTTCTAGGACAATTTTGACAAATGCGTCTAGGTTGGAAAAACTTGACCAATGTTTCCGTCACCGACCACGATGCCAGCGTAAAACACGGTGATACGATCCGCTGCTGGGTCGGCGTCGCGTCCTTGATGAAGAGAGGAAACGAACTCCTCTTTCCTTCGAGAGACAGAACACGCGACATCATCAACAGCGGCGAGTATATTGCCGTTCTTCGTATGCTTAATCCTCTTCTCCAGGATTGGCAGCGCGAATTTGACCGCTCTAAACGTAAGTTTCAGTCTTGTCGTTTTTATTTTTTTTATTTTTATTTTTCTTTCAGTTGTTTTAAAACCGCATGCATGCATGCTGACTAGCCGCCCTAGTTTCCAAAGCAATGAGATTAATACTTGCCATCGAGTTCGGATACGTTCGAGTATATATAAACAGCGTTGCCTTACAAGCCGTAGTGGAACACTACAATCGTGTTGCAAGAGAAGGGGGTTCACTTCCACTCTCTGCACTACTCAGTCCATATGAGGGAAACAAGGAATATTTCATGGAAGTGGTTAACGCCGCGAGAGCAATGCTCCAAGTAGTAGTGGAGGAACTCCTCCCCGAAGACCGGCTTAAGCATGTCCCCGTCCGAACTTACTCGAGAATTCTCGCTGGTGCCATGTTTTGTCTCAAGGTTCGTCCCCTCTTTTATGGATCGAATGGTCTTACCCTGTGCTTACCCGCTTTCATACAGGCTTACGCTCTCGGAGCAAAAGATAGCGAAACCGCAATCTCCCTTACACTAGTTGAGCGTACTGCAGAGGCTCTTTGCACCTGTGTTGTTGACGACGTTCACCTGAGTAACCGATTTGGCGAGCTCCTCCAGGCACTTGTATCGAGTCTTCGTAGTCGCGTGACGATCCCGACCAGCGAGCCGTCTCTCAGTGGGCATATCACTCCCAACAACGGCCAGATGGGGCGGCAGCCATTCGAATTTCACGAAAGCATGCCCCCTGAAACCAAGCCCATTGTAACAGAATCGTTCGAACGATCAATGGCCCAGCAAATGTCACTCCCACAAGCACTCACCAGCGGCGACTACGATTCACGCTTCGTCACCAGTCCTGCAAGCTCGGCACCTGACTCGTCAGCGTATATGACGATGGGTGTGATCCCGGACCAGCATACCTTCCAAACCGACCCGTTGATATCATTCGCTGGCTTGGGTCCCAACCAGCTAGGATGGTCCGGTGGCCAAGATTTCTTCGACATGCTCGGCCCATTGTTGGATGTGCAATACGAACAATACCGGTGAAGCAGAGCCAGAGCTCTGGCTCTCTTCTTCGATAATTATGAAGAAGAAAATGAGGTCAGCTCTCTCCCTTTCCAATGGGGTCTCAACTGGGAACGGTAAGAAAACACCGTTCTCCCCAAAGGAGCACAGTGTCTGTTTTCTTCAGAGCTCTTACCGGCACACTTATGCCGGTGATTAGCGATCTGACCTATGATGGCTGTTGCCGAAACGGAACTTGACAACAACATCGACAAACAATGATATTCAGCGCCGTGAACTGCCATCTTTTCACGGCTAGCTGAACCAAGTCAGCACGCCCTGACTCTATATAAAAGGCAAGCATCCTAGACACTGTTGGTTCTCAAACCACTTCCCTCCGCGAATACTATTAACACCATCCAAGCAGCAGCAGCAGCAGCCTAGAGTGGATTTTATCCTCAGCAGCTGATTTCAATATCGTTCATTGTTAATTCATCACACCAAATAATACCAACAAACCTTAGGCATAGCCTTTTCAAATAAGCGCATGTTATCACAGCGTTGGGAAGTTTCTCAACAGCTGATACCATGCTCACTATGCTTTGACTCCGTGCTTATTCGTTTTTGCCCCAGCGCTGTTGAATGTAGATATTTATGCTCCCGCATATTAGCGATTTCGGTCCTTTAGACAAGAAATGTTTCTCAAAAATAACTGAATATGGAAAATACTCACATCCCCTTCAACGAGTAAACTGATGAATGTTATCAAGGGCTAATATCTCCCTTTAACTGTAACCGGGATACGGAGTAGAGCAAAAAAAAAAAACAACAAAATCAATAAACATTGACCTTGGGGGGGGTCAAGAAACTTTTTATGCACTTAGGCAGTGAAACCTTCCAGCGTGTCGAGAATTGCTTGAAAGTTTTTTTGCCATGGAAAATGCTGGATAGTCGAGGGAAGCGATGGACAGTGGTTTTCCGCCGAGTTTGAGCGGCCCTGTTGCGATTAGGGCTAGATTGGGGCAACCCGCTTGGGCCTGTGTGAGATCTGCGAGCTGGCGGAATTTCTTTTAAAGCTCTCATCTCAACCCTGCTGTAGCCTGTTGGCTCCGGGTCAAGCATCGCATAAGCATCAAATGCCTGCTGGAGCTTGACTTTCTCTACGGGGACGGTAGTACCTTTGTAACTGCAGACGGGGCTTACATAGCAGAGGAACCCGGCTTGAAAGCAACGGTCAATGGCATGCCTGGGGCATTCCGTGTGACCATTCCCCTCTCCCTAACAGAAACCATGTCCGTCCAAATGTCAAGCCCGGCTAGTTATCCGGAAAGTAAGACTGATCAAAGGGGAAACGCTCGGATCTATCCCAAGCACATGAACATTATTGAGTACCTCCAGTTAGTTTCTTAATGTCTAAAAACAAAAGTATAACAAGGGCGATTAGATGCAGTTCAGGGTTCTATAGACACATTCTTCCAAGTGAGCATACTCTTGTCTGTCAGTTAATAAACCCCGTTTTGCGGTGTACATTTTCTCCCCCCCCGCGGCAACCCTGGATGTCCGTGCTGTATGCCGCCTCCACCGATCATCCATGGCATTAATTCTCCGATGTTGACAAGCCCATTGTCTGGCCGTTCCTCTTGGGTTTCCGTCACTAAGCATGATGCTTGCAGCAGGAAATGAAATGTTACCCACGCTCGTTTGAGATCATTTCGTGGTGTGCTTCGGGATATTGCTCGGTAGCTCATGGCTAGCTGGGTCCTGGAGGTCAGCCATAACTTCTTCCACCCTTGCTGTTAATGGGCAGCGATTCACGGCGAACAGAGAATGGCAAAAGTTATCAACTATCAAACCACCTGCAGAAGCATTGCCGTCTTTTTCCAAGCCACCTGTTGAAGTCCGATTGGCCTTTTGGAAGATTCCAGTGACCTCAATACCTCCCAGAGGCGATCGCGTGGCCGAATCACACCATTGACGGATATCCCCTCCCTTCAAGACATGCTGTTCCCTCGACACGGTGTCTCTGGTAGCTTCGGATGTCGACTTGAAGTTTATGCCGAACCTTCGCCTGTGATCGTCTAATTGGCTTATATTCTTTTTACAGAGCCTGACTTTGTTACTCTTGCGAATTACTTGCACCCGGATGGGGGATGCATCCCCGTCGTTGTCGATCGAATGGGTTGCGATGGTTGTTCAGGTCTTCACAGCTTGGGCTGACAAGAATGATTGATATCCCGGCACTTCATTGCCGATACTAAAACTCGACGACGAGTCTAGGAAGTAATAAGAGTGTCGCACTTGATAAGAAACACAGCACTGATCAACCTGGCACCAAAATTTACTTCCGTTGTATGGCCATGACATCGTAAGCCAGCTGGGTGCACTTTCTTGACCTTCATCTTTGATATATGATCACCTTCTATATCGTCGTCATCACAGTCTTCCAGCCACTGGCTTTTCAAAAAACCAACTGAGATAGGACGGCTCTATTGGACTTGGAAGCAAGAGAAGGAGACGGAAAGAAAATAAGATAAGGGAAACAAAAAAGCGACATCCTTTTGGTTTAGGCGTTTGAACGCCTGGAAGGAATATGGGATATGATCTTTTGTCAACTGTGCCACCAGCCTTGTGCATATGATTGTGAGAGTCCGAAAACGGTCATGACCTCTCGGCTGATCTCTTCTCTGTATTATTAACATCTTGGGCTATGCAAAGGGGATCTTCTCTTCCGAGAGATATCGCTGTCAATTGTTATAGACAACGACAGGCGACAGGAAATTCAAGGCGCTGGGAGACTGCAACGGGATACAACTAGCCCCAGCAACTGGGCTGGGCACTCCTTCCACGCGTGTGTCAAACAACCTCCGGGTGATGCATGTCGAAGAATCCCACTTGTACTCACGACGACAGCGACAACAGGCCACACGGGAGGCAATGGCCTCCGAGAGCTCACAGAGGTGGAGTAGGAGAGGTGCTATGAGCTGCCCGGACACTGAGTTTGAGACATGCTGGATAGTAGGTTGTTTTCTCCACCACCATTTCATTCTTTCTCTTTTCCTTCAGCCTCCTTTGCTGGTTAAATTCCCGGAAGTGATAATCTGGGACCCAGCTCACATGCTTTTCCCAGCGATCGCACATGGCATGCTTCAAGCTGGGTGGTGATTAAATGAGAGCATCTCCAGGGTTGTGAATTGAGCCCTGATGGTCCTGATATTATGCAGGCCTGCCAATGAACTGCGACAGCCAGTGCGTCGCGCAATATACACAAATTGGTACAGTGGACTTCAGATTTACCCAATTTTTGGCGCGGCGGGCGACGACTTTATTTCTCAAGCAATGAGATATTCGTCGGAGATCACGGAGGCTCTCGACGCTTTTTTTGCAGGCAGCGGCCTTTGATCCTTCCGATCACATCTCATACGATGGGTTGAGTTCACGGTGGGTACAACTCCGAACCGAGTACCCTTGTCAGCTCTAACAGAGACACCAAAACTGCAAAAGAAGAATAGCCCTTCTTCCCTAATACACACTGGTGGCTGAGCTTAAAGTAGTCACACCGGACGATTTCTCGCATGTCCTTTAATTTCCTGGACGAAAATGGCCCCTGACCTGTGCAGCTTTTTGATATAAGAGACCATGTTGAAGTGGATTGATAAGTGAGCTGATCGTGGGCAGGGTAATTATTCCATATCAGAAATGAAAAAAGAGAAGGGCTTTATCGGAGCTGAAGGGGTCTCTGGTCTAGATCCATCCTTTGCAGCTGCGATCCCGACTGTCGGTGGAGCGGTGCTGAAAAGATGAATCCACTCCCGACACGCGTATCTACGGAGTACTCCGTATTCATTGTCATATAACTATTTGAAGTAACTAACTATCTACATGTGTATACTCTCGTAATCTCCTCCTCACTTTATAGTGGTGATGCAACTCGGGGCAGCGGATCACGGACTGCGAGGGATGTTGTCATCGCGCATATTACATATTTATCATCCCAGCATGTTTCCCGGAAGTGATGCCGAAAACAGCTTGTTTTGTGATCCCGACGCCGATTTGCAATTTTTTGTTTTGCAGGGAAGCCGTATTCGTATTTCGCACTGCGGTGTTGTGATTGGCCTCTTCGATTACTAATTCACTGCAATTAAGTTTGAGCCTCGGCAAGAACGATCCGACAGTCGGCATTCGGAATATCAATAGACCGGTTTGAATGTACCAAACAGGTACGGGGTACATCCATGCCTCCTGGGAGTATGGACTGAACTCGATCGAGGAGAAGTGTGAAGATGATACTGACAGGGTCCATGGGAGGATGTGAGGGTGGATCATCGCATGAGGTATGGGCAACGATCAAGGTATATATTATTTCTTGCATAGGGTTGTGCAGCGTGTTGGAATACATTAATGCTGCGGTACGGAGTACTCCGTACTCAAATTATGTTTTTTTGTCGTACCTCCTCAGTATCTTGGACGAGCCGAGGCACAGAAGGAACTTTGCATAAGGGGCTGCTTACATGAATTTATGCATTTAATGTCTTAGTTAGCTCTTGCGGCGAATGACGTCATGTTTCTCGTCTGATCGGCTGCTGATTACCGCCGCCTGCCCAGCTGCGCTGCCCAGCGAGAAAAGAGAAAAACGAAAAAAAACCAAAAAAAAGAAAAAAAGAGATGGAAAAAGGGCAGAAAAGTAACTATCGGGAAGCTTGATGAGATCACCAACAGACAAAGGAGAGCTAGAGAGTGCACAAGCTCGTCGACTCTCTTGTCAACCCTAACCACGAACCGCTACTCCGTAGTATGGGCCTTTGAGCCCTACCGGCAACGCCAACCCAAGCTTGAGCGGGCTAAGCTCCAGCCACTGATCTCATTGGCCTCCGACCCGTGGGCGCTGCTCCAGGCGCATCCCTACTTACCAGTCGGCCTTGCCGTACAGTACCCTTTTTCGCCCCCCGACCGACCACGCCCACCCGGGAAAAAGCTTGGTGCTTGACCGGAGCCATTCCATGGCTACTCTCCTGGTCAAAAAAAAAAAAAAAGGTACCTTTTGAGAATATCCGATCAGCTTCATTATGCCTAGGCATATTTTTTTCTCTTCTTCTTCTTCTTCTTTTTTTTTTTTTTTTTTTTTTTTTTTTTTTTGATTTCTTCCTCCCCTTTATATCAGGCTCGATCCCTCCCTGTGTGCTTTGTACAGTACATACATACATCAGAGCACATCTAGATACGTCGCGATATTAATATTTTACCTCTCACCTTCCACTCGTTAAATCAACCGGCGGGCCGCTGTCTCTGTTCCTATACACTTGTGATTAGAAATCTTCTTATAGAGGGGAGCTTTCGAGAGATTTTGCCTCCTTGACCGTCAGTGTGGGAGTTGCTGTCTCGCTGCAAGAGTCTTAAATAGAGATCAATCACCGTTTCCCGCTCGTTACCCCTTCCCAACCGTCTCCCTTTTTTCTTTTTTTCCTCTTTTCCCTTTTTTTTTCCTTTTATATGACACTTGAAGTATCAGCTTCGATTTGTCACTACCGCAGCCGATAAATCGTCTCGCCGCTTCAAATATGGGCGACGAATCACCGCGCCCTTCAAAAATACCCTACTGGCGCCAGGTCATCGAACCCGGCGCCGTCACCCAAGAGGTCATCGACTACCCCTACAAGGGGTCCGGCACCGAAGATGATCCCTTCGTCGTCGAATGGATTCCTAATGACCCCCGAAACCCTCTCCAATTCTCCACCGTCAAGAAATGGTCCATCACCATGCTCGTCGCCATGGCGACCCTCGCCGTTGCCCTCATCTCCTCCGCGTACACCGGCGGTGGAAACCAGATCATGGCGGAGTTCAACGTCAGCAGTGAGGTCATGATTCTGGGTGTCTCCCTCTTCGTTCTCGGCTTCGCTATCGGTCCACTGATCTGGGCGCCCATGAGTGAATTGTACGGACGGCAGCTCCTTTTCTGCGGAACATACATGGCCCTGACCGCCTTCAACGCCGGCGCCGCCGGAAGTCAAAATATCTGGACCCTGATCATCCTTCGATTCTTCGCCGGCTCGTTCGGCTCGTCGCCGCTGACAAACGCCGGCGGAATCATCGCCGATATGTTCTCCGCTTCTCACCGTGGCCTGGCCATGGGCATGTTCTCCATCGCACCGTTCTTGGGTCCCGTTCTCGGCCCAATCATCGGTGGTTTCCTCGGGATGAACGCAGGTTGGAGATGGGTCGAGGGCTTTCTGGCCATCTTCTCCGGCGTGCTCTGGATAATTGGCACCTTGCTGGTCCCAGAGACATATGCTCCCGTGCTTCTTCGCAAGAGAGCAAACACCCTCTCAAAGCTTTCTGGAAAGGTATATCGCAGCCGCATAGATATCGACCAGGGCCGGGTCACTGTCAGCGAAGCCTTCGCTACCGCCCTCAGTCGCCCCTGGATCCTTCTCTTCCGCGAGCCGATCGTCTTCCTGCTTTCCCTGTATCTCGCCATCGTGTACGGCACCTTGTACATGTTGTTCGGGGCCTTCCCATTCGTGTACCAGCTGATCCGCGGCTGGAATGAGGGCATCGGAGGCCTTGCGTTCTTGGGCGTGCTCGTCGGGATGCTTATCGCTGCCGCCCTGAACATCATCGACAACAACAGGCGCTACATTCCACTCGCAAAGAAACACCATGGCTTCGCACCGCCTGAGGCCCGCTTGCCTCCGTCCATGATCGGCGGCATTGCCATTCCCATCGGTCTTTTCTGGTTCGCATGGACCAACTATCCCTCCATCCACTGGCTCGCGTCCATCGCCGCCGGCGTTCCCTTTGGTTTCGGCATGGTCCTCGTCTTCCTAGGCGTGATGAACTATCTTATCGACTCGTACACCATCTATGCAGCCTCAGCTCTTGCCGCAAACTCGGTTCTGAGATCGCTCTTCGGCGCTGCTTTCCCGCTGTTCACACGATACATGTATGAAGACCTTGGGATTCACTGGGCATCCAGTATCCCTGCGTTCCTGGCACTTGCATGCGTTCCGTTCCCATTCCTTTTCTTCAAGTACGGCGCGACGATTCGAAAGAAGTGTAAATTCGCTGCCGACGCCGAAGCGTTCATGCGCCGCCTGCAGGAATCGAGTCTCCAGCAAAGGGAAGAAGCTCTCAAGAAGGCGGAGGAGGAGGAGGAGAAGGAAGAAGAGGAGGAGGAAGCATCGCGCGAATTTGCGCTCAAAGAAGACGAGAAAGCTGGCCAGCCCGGATCCGCCGACGAAGATGCAGGACAACGGGACTATGTTCTCGAACCGATTCGGTCTATTAGCAGACAGCAAACACACAGAACCCACAGGACACACAGAACCGGCTCTATAGCGTCGAGGCTGTCTGAGACGTTCAGTGAATACGAGGGTAACCCGTTCGACATCGACCGGGTGAACACTCGGACGTCGGTCACATCGGCACGAAGAACGTCGATGTCGGGGAAGTGAAGGACGCGAAGGGCAGAAAATAAATGTAATATTGCTATATATATATATATATATATATATATATATGTATATAATTAAACACCGGACAATGGACACGGGTTATTTTTCACAATCTGTTTAAATTCCCCTTGAGATGTTAGTTAGTTACCTCTTGGCTGGCGTGCTTTTTTGATACCTTCTTTGTAATTTTAGCTATTCTCTCAAAACTTCTTTCTCTCTTTTTTTTTTTTTTTTTTTTTTTTTTTTTTTCTCCCCTCAATTTTAATTTTTCTTAACTTTGAACTGAGATGAGCGTTGAACATATTGGTTGATGAACTGCAATGCTAAGTGGTCACTGATCCATTCCATATGGCCGTTGAACATGAGAAGGTTGAAAGTTGGCTCGAGGTTGCGTTTCCTCATTTCGAGAATATTGGCGGTCAAAGCTTTTCCCACAGCTCTTCACTTGTTGCACAGACTAACTCACTACAAGTTAACTAAAAACTGCGAAACTAAGTTAACGAATTACACAGCTAGAAGATCAACTTTCCGCTGGCCCGTTCCCTTTTGCACCGATCTCCATACCGAGGAAACGGATTGATTTCCAGATCTTCCTGTCGGCATCTCCATCCTTTGTCCGGGGTAACTAACTAGTTAGTTAATTATGAGCTTATCAACTTTCGCTGCCCGACAGCATCCTCCTCAACAACCGCGGCTCGAATAGTGTCTATGGGATCGACTGGATAGTCGGAAGTTCAAGCTGCGCGTAACTAACTAATGGAAACTCTTTTACGTGACTGTCAGGAGAAAGGAAATGTTTCCCATGGAGCATTTTGGATGCCCTGCAGCCTTATGGATCACTGCGTTCCCGTGTCTTCAATTAATCAGTCACGGTCTTCCTGCGTCGAGACGACAAACCAGATTTGACGCGGATCCACTGGGCTAATTTGTGTACTGTCTCTGCAAGTGATTACCAGGTGTGATGTTTTCAAATATCTGCATGGATGTGAGTGAGTTCCGCACAATGAAGACCCGCATGCAGAAAACATTTCCCGGTCGATGGGAGATCTTCAGCGAGCATGGACGAATGGCTGGTTACTAGACATCCCCTTCCCCCGACACACTACAAGCGTTTTAGCGGAATTGCTGATCGGAATACTGCAGGGCGATAACGGATCGGGATCGGACACACATCGCATCGCTACGAGCTGCCGCATTGACGCAACCACCGGTCGTCCCCTGGCCAGTGTCCCAGGCTAGAATAACGCGTCCGTGCATGAGAGACTTTTTTTTTTTAAAAAAAAAAAAAAAAAAAAAAAAACCAACCGTCTTACGGAGTACTTGCAGAGGGGACCTTGGGAAGGCGATGGAGGAGACTGGGCAACGGGACGGCCACCAGGGGTCTCACGTCCTCTCACTCGCTGGCGGTGTGACAAAAGACCAGCTATCCCTCCAGTCGGCGTTTCGTGTTTCTTTTCTCAAGGCGTCCGTGGGCAATCTGTCGAGTTACACTGCGTCTAAGAACCCTCGAGGTAGCCAGGGGTGTTGAGTTGACGAGGTCCGGTGCGATGCTAATTGCATATCCTGATTGGATACGCTGGTCTAGGGTCCCGGCTCCAGGATATGCTTGTGTGCGTGTGTGCGTGTGTGTGTGCGTCTGGATCTATCTTGTGTACGAGGGAGGCTCTGGTCCAAGTTAAGAGTAAACTCGAACCATGTTCCCACCTAAGCTCTATGTTTCACCGTCCTCGAGCGCAGAAAGGCAGCCTGTGGCCACGGCTATGCACCCTCTCTCTCTCTCTCTCTTTTTTGGTATGGGGAGCCTGCCCCGTTCGCGACGACACGGCAACTCGGACATGCAAAAGAAATAGTTGACAGAATTTGCATCCCGACCGAACAAGGTGGGGGATTATCGTTGATACGGAGCCGAAGAGCGGATGACTAATCAAAAAGAGTAACTAGTCTTGGCGAGCGGCGATAGGCGGGGTTAAAGGCTGGCAGAAACTCCGTGCGAGCAGTTTGGGTGGAGAGAGAGAATGTGTGTGTGTGTGTGTGACAATTTGTGTCATTTTTTTTTTTCCAGAAATTGACTTGATGTGGTGGTGGTGGGAGGCTAGACAACGACTTGAAAAACCCAAACACAAATCGAAAAGGGATACAAACCCCACGACGGAAGTGCCAAAACATGGATGGGCGGAATTCAAGAATGTGTGAAGGACCGGGAGAAGAATTGTAAGAAGAGCGCACCGCAAAAAATGCACTTCCACGGCGTTCGCGTCCCCTTTTTGAAGAGGCGCGAACCATCGCGAGCTGGGGCGGGCGGGCCAGAGGAAGGAGGACGGCGGTTAATTGGGCGGGGGAACCGAACGCGGGCGAACGCTCCTTTTTTTTCGGCCGGTTAACGCTCTTTCTCTTTCCCCACGACGGAGCAGCGGAACGAGTGAAAGAAGAGAGAGAGAGAGAGAGAGAGTTCTACACACGGACCACGGAGTCAGCGGGCAAGGTTTGTGTGGGGTTGAGTTTGCGTCCCTGTCCGGCTACCGGCGTCCTGCATTGAGAATGTCCCTCTCCCTTACATCATTACCCAAGTACTCTCTCTCTCTCTCTCTCTCTCTCTCTCTCTCTCCGTACTCTCCGGTACTCCCTGTACCATACATACATTTGTACCATACATACGGAGTACATTTGTACATATATACATTCATTCATACGTTTGTACATTCAGTTTGTACTGTGTAAATAAACGGGGGTCGGATAAGAGGCAGGAGCAGCCCTCTCTCTCCCAGTTTTTTGCCCCTGTCCTACCCCCGAAGAGGAAAGTACCTGCGAGCCGCCCCGGGGATGGGAAGGGAAAGAGGAAAAAAAAAGTTGACTTTTACCCCACCTTTGAACCAAAATTCCCGCCGAAACGCTTGCCCCCCTTTTCCCTTGCCCTTCCCTTCCCTGGGGGTTGTTCTCGTCGTTTTCTTTGCGCCTTCCCCCGCTCCCCCCTCCTTTGCTTTCGTCCCATCTTGCCCTGTTATTTGTTGTATTGCCGGTTCATATTTTAAGGATCGACCCAGCAGCTTGCCAACCTTTCCTCTACTCTCTCTCTCTCTCTCTCTTTTTTCTTCTTTCTCTCTCCGTTCCTTTTTCTTTTCTCTTCCACCTTCAACTCCTCAAATCTCTTCTCTTCCCTTGCTTCATCCTCAATCACCCTCCACTCCACAGCAACAATGGCTCTCTTCCAGAAGATCGAAACCCCCTCCTGCACATACGAACAGCCCCTCGGCTTGTGAGTGCCTCCCTCCCTCCCTTCAAAATCACAGAATTCACCGCTAATCCCCGGGGCCGTCCAGGTTCATCAACAATGAGTTCGTCAAGGGTGTAGAGGGCAAGACCTTCGAGACCATCAACCCTCACAACGAGAAACCCATCGTCGCCGTCCACGAGGCTACCGAGAAGGATGTCGACATCGCCGTCGCCGCCGCCCGCAAGGCCTTTGAGGGCGAGTGGAAAAAGGTCACCCCCACCGACCGCGGACGCATGCTCAACAAGCTCGCCGACCTGCTCGAGCAGCACTGTGACACCCTCGCCGCCATCGAGGCCCTCGACAACGGCAAGGCCGTCTCCATGGCGAAAGTCGACGTCGCCAACTCCGCCGGCTGCATCAGATACTACGGTGGCTGGGCCGACAAGCTCCACGGCAAGGTCGTCGACACCGACCACGAGACCTTCAACTACACCCGCCACGAGGCCGTCGGCGTCTGCGGTCAGATCATCCCCTGGAACTTCCCCCTCCTGATGTGGGCGTGGAAGATCGGCCCCGCCCTCGCCACCGGTAACACAGTCGTCCTCAAGTCCGCAGAGCAGACCCCCCTCAGCGCCCTCTACGCCTGCCAGCTCGTCAAGGAGGCCGGCTTCCCACCAGGCGTCCTCAACGTCATCTCCGGCTTCGGCCGTGTCGCCGGTGCCGCCATCTCCTCGCACATGGACATCGACAAGGTCGCCTTCACCGGCTCCACCCTCGTCGGCCGTCAGATCCTCCAGGCCGCCGCCAAGAGCAACCTCAAGAAGGTCACCCTCGAGCTCGGTGGCAAGTCCCCCAACATCGTCTTTAACGACGCAGACATCGACAACGCCATCTCCTGGGTCAACTTCGGTATCTATTTCAACCACGGCCAGTGCTGCTGTGCCGGCAGCCGTATCCTCGTCCAAGAGGGCATCTATGAGGACTTCCTCCAGCGCTTCAAGGAACGTGCCATGAAGAACAAGGTCGGTGACCCATTCAACCCTGATACCTTCCAGGGACCACAGATCTCCCAGCTCCAGTTCGACCGCGTCATGGGCTACATCGACCAGGGAAAGAAGGCTGGCGCCAAGGTAGAGATCGGCGGTGAACGCCTCGGCACCGAAGGATACTACATCCAGCCCACCATCTTCAGCAATGTCAACGAAGATATGAGCATCGTCAAGGAGGAGATCTTCGGCCCTGTCTGCTCGATCCAGACGTTCAAGACTGAGGAGGACGCCATCAAGATCGCCAACGGTACCAGCTATGGTGAGGACCCATTCTCTCTCTCTCTCTCTCTTCTTTCTCTTCTCTTTTCTTTCTTTCCTTTTTTTGTGTGAGAGTGATTCCATGGTGACTGACTCTTATGGTCTTGCTAGGTCTTGCGGCTGCCATCCACACCAAGGACTTGAACACTGCCATCCGCGTCTCCAACGAAATCAGAGCAGGGTAAGTCGAAGGAGAAAGAGAATGAAATCGATATTCCCGGATACATTTTCTTCATCTCTTTCCCCCCCCCCCTTCTTGAGAGAAATAATGGCTGATGAGGATGTAGAACCGTCTGGGTGAACTGCTACAACCTCCTCTCGTACCAGACGCCGTTTGGTGGCTTCAAGGAGTCCGGTCTGGGCCGTGAGCTGGGCGGTAAGTGATTCTTTTTTTTTTTTTTTTTAATTTTTGTTCACGCAAGTGGTGGGACAGCGGACTGACTGGTATGGGTTCTGCAGAATACGCTCTCGATAACTACACGCAGGTCAAGGCCGTCCGCATCCGTCTTGGAGACGCGATGTTTGGTTGAGCGGAGCAGCTAGCTCTGTAGTTCAGAATGGGGTTTGTGTGAAAATTGGACCCTGTTCCTGCTGTTGTTTCTTCACCAGGTTGTATCTTAGCAAGCATCATCGGGTTGTTCTCGCTATATTATGAAATTAATGTTGTTATGACGGAAAAAAATACCATTGTAGTGAAAGTACACCTGCAGAGTGGTTGTGTTGTGAATTGTTGTGTTGTGAGTTGTTGTGGTGTTGTTGTAGTGTCTAAGTGGGCCCGGAAGCGGAAGATCTGTGCTATGTGGTTTAAAAGTGTATTTGGGAAGACAAATGTTTAACTAGCTGTCATGGCCTAATTGGAAGACTGTCTGCTCAACACCCGCAGCCAACCCATGAATTCTGCTTAGTCAGAAAGGACGAGACGGTGCCTGGTTCGAATCCCGGAGTCGCGACCCGGGCGTGGTTTTATTTAATGGACCGCGTCTTTTCTGGTTCTCCCACACTCGTGCGAGCAATCCACGAACGGCTGTGGCGCGCTAGGCAATGGAGGCGACGCTTGAGGGAAGCAATTCTGCAGAGACACCTCCACTCCGGGATGGCGGCACCAGATCACATCGGCTGTTCACTGTGGGTTGGCCGTGGATTCTGGACGGTCAACTTTTTTTTTTTAATTTTTTTTCTTTTTTCCTTTTTCTTTTTTTTCCTTTTTTTTTTTTTTTGTTTTAAACCTTTTCCCCCTCATACTGTAACTACACACGTGTCGGATGAAGTACCTATGGAGTACGGAGTAGTTACGGGGTCATGCAGAGTACTCCATACATTCTTTCGTTTCCATTTAATCTCTTTAGTTAACTGAGATAGTTGTCGAATTTGTCCCTTTTCTTTTTTCCTTTTTTTAATTTTTTCTTTTTTTTTTTTTTTTGGTTCTTCCTGCGATGCTCCCTCTGACATCGTACCGGAATACGAGCCTGCTTGAGACTTACCCGCTGCCGAAGATTCCGGTAAACGGCGCGATCGGCGCAGGCATGATGTGTGGCACTCCCAGGGTTCCGCGCTGCCTGGCCCTCCAGTTGTGTTCCAATCATGTCTTTTCATACTCCTCCCTCCGCTGCCGCTGTCGCCAGCTGACAGTCTTCCCCGGTTCCCCCGTCTTCTCCTCCTCCTCCTCCTCCAGCTGAAGTGCAAAAGCCCATTCACAATGGTCAAATACTACCCGTCCATCAGCCCAGACTTCCAGGACTGGATCCTCGCCCAGCCCGTCTTCTTCGTCGCCTCCGCTCCCCTGACCGGGAAACACATCAACGTCTCCCCCAAGGGCCTCCCCTCCTCCTCCCTGTCCGTTCTCAACCCCAACGAGGTCGCCTACATCGATTCGACGGGCTCCGGCAACGAGACTCTCAGCCACATCCGCGAGAATGGACGGTGCACGATCATGTTCTGCTCGTTCGACGTGAGCCCGCGGATCATGAGGCTGTTCTGCCGCGGGGAGGTCGCCGAGTGGAACGAGCCTGCCTTCCAGACGATGCTCGGGAGGATGGCGTTGGAGAAGGAGTTCGTGCAGGGGGCGCGGGCGGTGATGAGGTTGGATGTTTTCAAGGTATGGTGGCCATATAGTACTCCACAGAAAAACCAACCACCTAGTCAATGTCCCCTTCCTTTTTTTGTGTGAATGACCTCATATGGAATATATATATCGTCCTTGTGTAGGTCCAAACATCGTGTGGGTTCGGTGTTCCCCGCCTCGCACTGACCACCGATCCCAAAACCAACGAGCCGAAACCCTACCTGGAAGACCGACGCGCCCTCGGTCACTTCGCCGCAGTGGTAGTGGCGAAGAACCAAATTCACACATACCAGCGAGATTTCAATGCCGACAGCCTGGATGGCCTCCCGGGCATGAAGGCCGCCATGAGAGATCGTGGGATGCGGGCCGTCGATGCCCGCATATGGCTATGTAGACAGCGAAGGGCCCTGGAGCTGGTCGGGGTGACTCTGTTGTCGACATGTTTGACGGTGGCGGTGATGTGGGTAAATGGGTGGACGAGGTTCTGACGATAAGATGATTATATGATTGTTATATACCTAGTACCTCTACCCCCGTAGTTAGCGCTCTTTACGATATGATGCCTTTGATGATTGAATTCGGACAACCGTTGCCTACCTATCCATCCATTAGATGACACCGGCGCATTGGCCCCCAGTTGGCATACTTTGACAGGGTTATATTTTACTCTGTTAGGAAAAAAGTAAGCGGCTAATTATTTTTCTTGTTAGATTAAGTTGTCCGAAGCTACAAAATATCCCAGCCTCTGGTCAAGGCTTTGATGCATTTATTGAATGGTGTGAACCATCACAATCTGCTTGGACAGCGACAACGATGACAACCCAAGACTAATAATATGTCATTGCACCTTCGCATGAATTGATTGAACCCTTCGAGTACCTCGAGTCGAGAAGCTAGGTATTTAGCTAGCCAACTGTCTGGTCCCCTTGCCTTCCAAGCCTCCAAAGTGGAAATGTAAATCCGAGCCGAGTTGTTGGCCTTTTAACATCGCTTCCAAGCCACCATGGAAGCGAAGTTCAAGCTCTTGTCCTGAGAGAGCTACATCTCGGTTCGCTGCTTGCAAACTTGTATATGGAGACATCATCGGAAACTGAATTCCATGGTTCCGCCGCTGAACACCATCAGACATTCTCCGCTGCTGGGGAATGGTGAGGATTTAGCTCCATAGCTAACCCCTCAATCGGTCCCGTCTGGAGGATACATAGTACCCCCACAATACCATCTTCAGATGAACTGCTCCGACTGGACGACTGGTTCGTCTGAGAAAAGCAGGACAAGAATGAAATGGGCCGCCTCAGCCTTGAGGAGGGCCGATTCCCGTTTCACTATGGGATCTCCCGTGCACCATGGTTACTCTAGGGTGCCGAAAACTACAGCCATTCCCGCTCTACGCCGATGCCGAGATAGCCTCGGATTGGGAATGCCGAATGGAGAACGGAGCTATTATATTATAACAATATTTCTCCATCATATGAATTTGATTTGAAAAGGATGACGATTGAATAACCCATCTCAATTGACCTTGCTGGCTAAACGGAAACTATGGCAGCCCAGAGCAGAAGACCTATCCGGATAGCAGGTAAAGATATCGATTCGTTTCTGCCTTCCATCGAGGGGCTTAGAACGGCGTTAACTCGTTTAAACAGGAGCATCTGGCTCTGCGTCCGACCGCCGTCATGCGATGGCCGAATTCGCGCGGAATTATCCCAAGGATCCGGTCGACGTTATCATATCAGACTACATGAGCGAATACAACATGGCTGTGGCTGCAGCCCGGCGGGTTGATCAGAAAGCTGTGTCTTCCGCAGAAGCTGGCCTGATCAACGTCTCCGGCGGTCCGGCATATGAACCTTCATTCCTGGAGGCCCTCGAGCCAGCACTGGAAGATCTGGCTAGATATAAAATCAAGATTGCGGTAAATGCTGGCGTGACGGATACGAAAGCTCTCTACGATGTGGTTGCGGAAATGGTTAGAGAAAAGGGACTTGATCTAAAGGTATGACACACTGCATTACAGATTCTTATGCCTTTTGATGCTCAGCAATTAGGTTGCATGGATATCCGGTGATGAAGTCCTTCCCGCCGTGAAAGAAGCCCTGGCCTCTGGAAAATCGACTTTTAAAAACATCTACACCGGCGAGACGCTAGATAAATGGGATTTCGAGCCTATTTATGCCCAGGGGTATTTGGGCGGAATGGGAATCGCTGCTGCATTTTCCAAGGGTGCTGATATCGTTCTCTGTGGTCGCGTTTCCGATGCTTCTCCCGTCATCGGTGCGGCGCTCTGGTGGCATAATTGGGCAAGGTCCGATCTTGACAAGCTTGCAAATGCCTTCGTAGCGGGCCATCTTATCGAGTGCAGCAATTATGTCTGTGGTGGTAACTTCACTGGCTTCAAGAGTTTGGAGAATGCTGGAGGGGACGGCTGGACTAATATCGGCTATCCTATTGCTGAGATCTCGTCCGAGGGCCAAGTTATTATCACGAAGCAATCTTATTCCACTGGTGGAGCCGTTACGATTGATACTTGCTCGTCCCAGTTGCTCTACGAGATCCAAGGGCCGATCTACTTCAACTCAGATGTCACGGCTATACTATCCGATATCCACTTCGAGCAAGTAGGTCGCAACCGGGTCGCCGTCAAAGGCGTCAAGTCTGCCCTACCCCCGCCAACAACAAAGGTAGGCCTCACGGCCAGGGGAGGATACCAAGCAGAGGTTATCTACTTCATGGTAGGACTAGATATCCCGGCCAAAGCGAGAATGCTGGAGGCACAGATTCGGCGACTCCTTGCCCCTTATTCGAAGAACTTTACCGTTTTCAACTTCTCGGTCCTGGGTACTTGCCCAGACGATCCTCAAGACCAGAACAGCGCGACGGCCACATTCCGCGTCCTCGCACAGGCTCCCCGTGCTGAGGATCTCGCACCGACGAAATTCGTTCGCCAGATCATAGACAATGTCATGCAAGGCTATCCCGGCGCTACATTCCACCTCGATCTCCGTCAAGGATTCCCCAAGCCTGTCTTTGAATACTATGTCACTCTCCTTCCCCAGTCAGACGTGCAGCATCAAGCGCATCTTCCCTGGCTCAATACTGTCCTCGACATTGCACCTCCATCGGAGGCAAAAGTCTGGCCCGCACAGCAGCCTACACAACCGGTAACGGGCCGGCTAGCCAACGTTCTCACGGATTTTGGGCCAACGATTCGGGCGCCGCTCGGCTCCATAGTGCACGCACGTTCGGGCGACAAGGGTTCTGATGCCAACTGTGGCTTCTGGGTCCGTCACGCCGACGAATACACCTGGCTGCGAAGCCTCTTATCTGTCGATAAGGCGCGGGAGCTTCTCGGTAAGGAGTGGCGTGAAGACGGCACGATGAGCATCGAGCGCTTTGAATTGCCGAATCTGCGTGGTGTACATTTCCTGTTTAGAAATCTGCTAGATCGCGGAGTTGGAATCACTAGCACGGTAGACTTCTTGGGGAAGAACGTCGCGGAGTATTTGAGGGCGAGATGGGTGGATATACCGGTGAAATTTTTGAACAGGGGGAAGTTGTGATGTAAACAAAGTGATATGATAATATGATTTTATGTTTCCCTTTGATTATTGGACATATACATCTTTGGGTTCTTTTGCTGTTGAGAAATGATATAATTGTGAACGCCCCTTTGTTTCCCTTGACTTTGATCTCCAAAAACTCCGAACATTAACAGGGCACAAGGACTATCTCCTCCGACTCCTAATACTAGCCGGCTGCACAGGCTCAAACGCCTCGTCATCTTCGTCATCCTCAATATCGCTAATCACAATGTTCTTTTTCGCCGCGGCGCTTCGCGTTGGCCGTCTACCCACTCCGCTAGCATTACTCGATCCAGTGATTGTCTGACTTTGACTTGGCTGAGAGGTACGAGCCAAGTTCAGAGTTGTTTGTTTTGAGCGGGTAGCGGCTGTGGAGCGCGCGGGAGCCTTGCGGGTTGATGCGGTCGTGGTTGTAGATGATGTCTTGCGGCTTCGTGAAGATGGAGCTGGAACAGGAGAGCGGGGTGTTGTTCGGAGGGGCCGTGAGAAGAAGGCATTGCTGGCTTCCGACGCCGAGTTATCGATGGCGTCGTCTTGTACAAACAAATCATCATGACCAGGCTCTTCTTCGTCGTCCTCATCGTCGGGCATAACTTGTCGGCTTCGAACGCGTGTCGATGCCGTCGTTGTCTTACCCCTGGATGATGCGGCACCGCGTCCTCTGCCTCCTCTGCCGCCTCGACCGCCTCTAGTACCGCGAGTCGAAGTGGCAGAGACAGCTCCTCGTCTCCGGCTGGTGGCAGGCGCTTCATTATCATCTTCATCTTCTTCCTCTTCCTCTTCTCCCGCATTCTGAGCCCCCTCAACATCTGAATGGATCAGAGCACCTGGTTGATCCTCCCACGGGCCGTCAAAATCACTATCCCACAAATCAGGCTTTGGCTTGAACCTCCTCCTGCCACCTCTTCTTTTGCCCTTGCCCCTAGAAAAGTGTTCTTCCAGTTGCTCACGATATTTATCCATGGCAGCTTGCAAACTCTGCTGTGCTTCTTCTTCATCGTACTCGGCATCTCCCTCTTCGTTCTCCCGATCTAGATCCATCAAGTGTTTTATTTGACTTTCAAGCGACTCGTTGACGAACATTTCCATGGCATGTTTATCGTCCTTGTCGACAAACTGAGAAACCGCGTCTCCAAAGGAGTTTTGTGGGAGGATAGTCAGCGATTGAGCAGTCAAAAACTCGCGGACGAGTCGTTCGACTTTGACGGTGTCTAAGGAGGAAAGTTGAGATAATATAGTTTCACCAGGGGCATCCGTTTTGCCGCGAGCAGCTGTCGTGGCTTTCTTTTTCCGGTGGAATTGCACGACGTCGTTGACATTAGCCACTCTACCAACGAATCGGTTCGAGAAGCGCTGGGGGTTTTCGCAGTCGAAACTGCCTCCTTCGGGGGTGGAAGTGTCTACACGAAGCCGGACCAGCGGCAAAGGTATCTCTGATTCATCTCCGTCGAAATCGTCTTGTGATGCGAGCCAGTCATTTTTGGCCTTTTCTATGAGCTCGTCCACGAGACCCATCAAAAATCGTGTGAGCTCCGTGCGGTTATTTTCCTTTCTCAGGAGCCGTTGAGCCTCCTTCTCTTCACTCAGAACGATTTCTTTCATCACGAACGGGCGTACGGTCTTCAGGGGGATGGGTTCGCATTTGAAATCATGCCCAGTGATGCTGAGAATGGCGACATGTTTGGGAACCGCTTCACCAGGAACTAAAGAGGTCGCAACAGAAGAACCTGGTTGCATAACGTGGAATTTCGTTTCTGGATTGAAGCGAGGATTTATCAGACATTCGTGTTCGTGGCCCCAAATGACGAGGTCCATAAATCCTGGTAGAAATGTCTCGGGGAGGTAACTTGTCTCTGTGTATGCGTGATGGTTTTGATGAACGCTCATAAGATTGAACCAGTCACCCTGTTGTATAGACGGGCGAAAGAATTTGACCTTTCCATCTCGGAAAGTTCGAAAGAGCCGCTCATCCCTTACGTTGCTCAAACCGTACAAAGCTAATTTCGTGCGGCCTTTCTGGAGCAGGACGGGCTTGACCTGGATATTGTCGGACTCCGGCGTCCGTCCATAGTAGTTTAGCAGGCCAGACATCTGCAGGATATCTAACGCTGCCAAATGGCCCTCCCCGGAGGGGTCATCGTGGTTCCCGTGTATTGAAAACACGGGAATGGCAACATTGATGTCCAGATCCTCATAGTTTACATGATTAAACGGCCCCTGGAAATTCTCGCTGGCATCGCTCAGCATCTCCAGCTCGCACGGCTTATCACCGTAGCAGTTCATTCGCAGAGAGCGCATGACCTGATACATGGACTTCCGCGACGGCTGGTTCTCATGGAACAGGTCGCCGGCGAGCAGCACCATGTCGACGTCGCGATCCTTGGCGAGGCACATGACTTCATGGAAGGACTTCCAGGAGTCGTCTCCACGGATGGGGTCACGCTCATTGTATCCGACATGGTTGTCGGTTGAGACGAGAATGCGTATCGTATCAACTTCTGCGTAGGGTCAGTGGGTAGCCAATTTAAGGTGTTGGGGGGTTATGGACCAGTACCTCCGAGCGACATGACGAATAACTCGAAATAGAGAAGTCAAATGTGCTGCGCAGATTTTAGATTCTCATAAAATAGCCAGGAGCTTCAAGAAGTACTGTCATGGACCCCCTTTTGGATATTTGCCGCCGATTGTTGAAGGAGTTCGTTTTAAGACGCGCGAATATGGACGCGACGGGATTTTAGGAGCTTCAAGTTTACCGGACGACTTCTACAAGGAGGACAGAAGGTTGCGTCCAGAAGCAGTGAGCCTTGGGAAGAAGTACATACGTCTACCATGCGCATGTCGGCTGAAGATTCCACGACACACACACATACAGAGAGAGAGGCTGTCTCGTTGATCTTCCCACCTCGCCGTCGCCGTCACCAGGCAGAAGGGCGAAGGTTCAAGTCGGGAGCCACGTGACCACAGCGCAACGTCCACTTTAAAGGTTTCAGCTCCCTTTTTGGCGTTGCGACGACACAAGAGTTTCGTTCTTCTTCCTCGCATCAACCCAGCACATCCACGGCGCCGTCGACACAGCGATCAGAAGCACGCATCTCTCCCTGTGACTGGACCGGAACCAACTCCTGGCTCAGTCTCTCTCGCTCCTTCCAGCTCTCCCGTTCCTATTCTTTTATGCAACCAGAGATCGTCCACCTCATCCAGAATCGCGTCCCTGAAGACCCGGCCCGCAACAACCCAGCATCCCTCGCCCAGCATGGAAACCTTCTCTCTGATCACTCTGGCCCCAACTGCCTCTCCCATGGAGATGGCGGCGACCGAGAACTTGTTGGCGACACAGTCTCCGACAGGTCTTCGGTCGCGATCCTCCCTGGCACCGATGACTCAGTGTCGTGTTCGATAGACTCTCCGAAGCAGGACAAACCAGCGCGGCCTGTCGATCGAGTCATCGAGTACGAGAATACCTGGATCCCTTCGCCAAAGGGCACAGAGCAGCTGGGGTTCAAAGTGATCCCGTCTCGCATCAACGGACCCATTCGACTATCAGTCGAGAACTTCCCAAATGGTGCGGCGTCTAGAACGAGGAGCGACCTCTTCCTTTTTGCCTTGCTGATTTGACTACAGAGGTCCTAACTCACATCCTGTCGCATCTCCCTCCGGCGTCGCTCTCTTCCATGAGCCTCGTCAATCGGCGGTTCCACAGCCTCGTGACCACGCCGCATGCCTGGAGAATTGCATTTTCACGCTACTTTCCCGGCCCTGCTGCTATCGAAGCCGAGAGGGGAAGACTTGATTCCGACGAATTCGAGCACCTCCTCTTGCGGAAACGTACGTTCTGCCGGCTGACGGCTCTGGCGTCGTGGAGAAATGAATACATCCTGAGGACACGCCTGCTGAGGTCGCTGGCTAGAGGTAGACCAGCACAATATCAGCCATCAGGCCAACAAGCATCACCGCGTACTGGACCGGCTTCCTCAGGCTTGGCGACCTACAACTCTCTTTTACTGTACCCGGTCTCTCACATTGACGGTGCTTTTGGTTCAGGTTCGGAAAAGAAGCCAGCCATGTTTGTACATGGAGCAAGAGAGCAAGGGATTGCTTCCGCAAGTGACCCCACGGCTAGCAAGGCAGGTCTTGGTGCATGGGGCATCTCGGACCCTCAAATGTTCAACCATTTCGCGGACTTATTCCCCGGTGAGTCCCAGTGGGGTCTCGGTGCCGGAGAGTTCGTGGGTCTTCCGAACGTGATGGACGTAAGCCAGCAATATGGATTGGTGTATGGAGAGGGTTGTCCTCGTGGTCGCACGTATTTTCTCTCCTCGAACGAGAAACGAGGCCGTTTTTTGTCCCTGACAGATTCGGAGACTCGTTCTCAACCGCAACTTGGAATCCCCAAGCTAGTCCCGGTGACTACCAGTATCTGCTCTGTCTGGATTGTGAAATCGCCACAGATTTTGAAGATCACGAATGGACTTTGTGGTATTCTAGCGGGAACTTCAACTGGCGTTCTTACAGCCTATGCCATCGGCCCCAATCACTCTTACAACCAACGCTATGAGCGAGGGCAGATCACAGCAAGATGGGTCCTTTGTCCCGGAGTGCCCATTATAGCGATTCGCGTTGACGACAATTTCTCTACCAAGCGACACGCGTACCGTCGCATTTGGGCTGTCGTCTTGAATGCACTCGGTGAGGTATTCTATCTTACCGAAATCCCTCTGCAAAGAGAGACCAACCCCAAACCCACGCCCGAACAGCTAGATCAATTAGCCTGGGAAACTGGAAGAACTGTTCGCTGGGAACTCGTTGAAGCGACTAGACGTGTTGCGCGACCGGACCCATTCAATACACAGCTTGTTGACGGTAGCTATACTCCAAGATCTTCTAGCTGCTCTATGGGCCTTACTGCCGCACAAATTGCCGCAGAGACCGCCGAAGTCGAGCAGTACTTGTCCTTCCAACCCAAGCATTTCAGCAAAGTA